TTATTTAATAGGTGTCAATATTTAAATAAATACAATCAAAGGAATATCATGTAAATGTATAATGAATAAATATAAAATTTATTTATGGGTGAGGAGTGTATTTTATTTATTATTCTAAAAATATTTTGTAAATTTTATGATTTAACGAATCCGAGATAGGTATTAAAAATAACTGTACGGAGAGTCCTTAAAAATGATATTTTATTAAAAGTAATAATTTACACGGAAAATAATTTTAATTCTAATTTTGAATTCATGGGTTCAAAATAAGTAATTACCCCATATCATTTTTGAAAAAAGAGAAAAAATGTGAAATAATGGAAGAGAGTAAATTTGGTTAAATTGCCACCTAATATGCCACATGCCAAGCTCTTAATATGTCACATGTCAAGCTTTGAATATGCCAAATGTCAACTTTTTAGAAAATGGAATCTCCTTTTTATATATAAAGGATATATATAGGATATATAGGGATGTAGCATTGTGATGTACATAGTCCGGATACACTTTTCCCGCCTAATCTGTTAAACTGGACTGTAATTCTGTATGAGTTTGGCCATACTTTCGTATTTATACGGATTCAAATCTATGCTTCATTGAGGTTCGGATGAGTTTGGCCATACTTTCGAACTTTAGAGCCTTCTGTTTGGCGGGAAAGCGGAAACACTCTCCAGTTACAGTGCAGGAAAACCGCCAACGGTGGTCGCCGACAACCACATTCATGGCCGGCAGCGGGGAAAGGGGGAGTCTAGCCGCCGCGTCCAATAAGAGGCCTCGGCGGAGCTGCGAGGTAAAAAACGACCCTCCGGTCTGTGGAGGTGACATAGAGGATGCTGTCTTCTTCGCCCGAGACGAAACCCTAGAAATTAGGGCTTCCCTGTTAGAGTGGTACGATCGCAATCGAAGAGATCTTCCCTGGAGAAGAGCGATCGAAAATGCAGGCGAGGACGAGAGAGAGAAAAGGGCCTACGAGGTCTGGGTTTCGGAGGTCATGCTGCAGCAGACTAGGGTTCAGACGGTCATTGATTACTTCAATCGGTGGATGGAGAAATGGCCGACTGTTCAGCACCTCGCTCGAGCTTCTCTAGAGGTTTTATGGTTCCTGATTTAGGGTTTCTGTTGCCCCGATTGAATCTTAGTATGCTAATTTTTTTCATTCCCATGTAATTGAAATTGGTTTGCAGGAGGTGAATGAGTTATGGGCAGGCTTGGGCTACTATAGAAGGGCACGTTTTCTTCTAGAGGTTATCTTGTACACTTAAGTTTTTTTCTTTCCCCATGTGATTGTTGATTAGAGAAACATAAATGAATGTACAATTGAAATGTAAAACTTTGAATTAAAAAAAAAGGTTTTCAAAAAAATAATGATTTGTTTATTCATATTAAGAGCTGCATTTTGCAGGGTGCTAAAATGATTGTTGAAGATGGGAACGGTTTTCCAAACACTGCATCTGGTCTTCGAAAGATTAAGGGAATAGGTGATTACACAGCTGGGGCCATCGCTTCCATTGCCTTTAATGAGGTCATTACTTTCTAACTTTTTGCTTCGACAATTATCTTCTTCCATTGTTTACATTTTTCTTATTTACAAAATCTTCATATAGGCAGTGCCTGTTGTTGATGGAAATGTAGTCCGGGTCATTGCAAGGCTTAAGGCCATATCTGCCAATCCTAAAAGCAAAGAGACCATAAAGAATCTTTGGTGAGATTTTCTTTTAAGACGACATTTCGTTTGTAGTTTCCTTCCTCAAAATCGTTAGGCACAGATGTTTAACTAGTTAAGACTAAAATTATTCATCATCATTGATCCCACCTATTGGTTTCAACTCTCGTTCTCTCGACAAATAATATTAAGCAATTTTTAAAATTCACTTTAAAAATTAGAGTGGAGCTTTGTAAGCCACGCTATTTGAGAAAAAATAGATCTTGACGACTTGCCAAAATGTAAAACGTTAAATTTCAAAAAAAAAATTGTTTTTTAATATTAAAAGAATATGTTTTCAGGGAAGTAAAAGTGTAAAACAACATATTTAAGTCTTCATAAAATTTATTATTCAGAATGTGTTTCATCTAATGATGTTCCCCATTCACGACTTCATCTATTTCATATGTTGACTCATGCATTTCCATTGAAATAGGAAATTAGCAGGCCAACTAGTTGACCCTTGTAGGCCTGGAGATTTGAACCAGTCTCTCATGGAGCTTGGTGCAATGACATGCTCCTCGTTGAATCCAAGATGTGATGAATGTCCAATCTCCACCCAATGTGGTGCTCTGTCACTCTGTAAACAAGATGAAACTGTTGCCGTTACAGATTTTCCAATTAAAGTAATCAAGGCCAAAAAAAGGCATGATTATTCTGCTGTGAGTGTTGTGGAAATTTTAGAGAGATCAGATTCTAAGAGTAGTAGGTTTCTTTTAGTAAAGAGACCAAATGAAGGTTTGCTTGCCGGGCTATGGGAGTTTCCATCTGTCTTGTTGGATGGAGAAGTTGACTTGGCCTCAAGAAGAACAGCTACTGATAACTTTCTGAGATCATCAATCTACTTAGATATGAAGAAGTCCTATACTGTTGTTTTAAGGGAACACGTCGGAGAATATGTTCACATCTTCACTCATATCCGTCTCAAGATGTTCATAGAGTTGTTGGTCCTGTGTCCAAAAGGTTTCTCCTAAATTACCTTTTTATGTTTAATCATAGCTCTTGTTTCGTCAAAAATATACTTTCCTTTAAAATGTTTGTTTTTTTATTGTACTGTTTTTAGCTCAGGAAAACATTTTGTAGAATAGGTTTTGATATGTTTTGAACCGGATCGGTTTAGATCCTGGAAAATACTTAGAGAATGAAAAACAATGCTAAACAAAGCATTTTCCTTGTGTTTGGTTTTGACTTAAAAATGCATAGGAAAATTTGTATGAATAGTTCTTTAAAGTATTGCACAAGTTTATATTACTCAGTCTTTATATGCACCACAAGGCAAATAAATAAAATAACTTAGTACTACTAAACATCTAAATTAAAAGCATTTCAGCACAAATTAAAAGCAAATAAATAAAATAACTTAGTACTACTAAATATCTAAACTATGTTGTATTATGTTTTCTATGTTTGTAGGTCAAACATTACACTCAGCACAAGTTATTTTCTTTGAAAGAAACAGAGTTACAGAGCCTAAGTTTGAGCCCATGGTTTAAAGTTTTAAGCCCCCCCCCCCTCACCCCCCAAAAAAAACAAAAACAGAAAGTAACTTCTGAGTACCTTTATGTTGTTGTTATTGTTAATACAGGAACAAGAAATTTGCAGAGCAGGAAAGAAGGTAACAACACTGCAATATGGAAATATGTTGATGGTGAAGAACTCTCTACCATGGGGTTAACATCAGGAGTCAGAAAAGTAATGTGGAAAGATTCTAATTTAGAGTTTCTTTTAGTGTTTACATTTGATTAAGACTTGGAAGCACATATTTTGGAATTTGAGACTCTTTTCCTCTATACAAACAAGTCACATGGTTACCAAACTTTGAATATGTTCTTGAAATTGAACTTACCAAATTGTGCTTCTTCTACTTTATTTTTGTATCTATCTATTTTATCTATTTATATTAATGCAGGTGTATGACATGGTTCAGAAATATAGACAAACTAAATTGGATTCCACCACTATGAAACAAAGACAAAGGACAACAACATCAAGAAAGTAGAGACTTGCCAAGAAATTTTGCCTGCAGTTAGGGGCCTTCACTGGGACTTACAAAGAATACTTCTTACTGATGTGCAAAGTGGTACATTAGGTTTTTTGTCTCGTGAGAGTGAGAACTTGTAGCTCTAGCATGCTCATTTTGTGGTTATATGTTCTATCTGCTGACATCATGGCTTCGAGTCTTCGACTCTTGGAAGCAGCCATTTGCAAAAACACAAGGTAAGATTTTTCTTCACCACGGCCTAATGGTGGGACCCTTCCAACAAGAGACTTTTTAATACAAGTAAAAAAGACTAGTCATCTCTATGCCTTTTCTTTGCTTCATGTCATAACACTCAAGTACTCTATATTTCATTAGGAAATGTTGGTAGATTAATGTTCTAGATTACGTCATATATAAGATCGCTCTTGCTAATGTCTCAGTTACAAAAACATTAGAATGCTTGTTGTCTCTTGTTGCAGGTGTGATGGTTTTAATTTGGAGTTGTGCCCGAGAGATCAATTTTGAGCAGAACACTCCGGCAACTAATGCTTGGATAAAATTGTGTGATACTTATGTATGAGTATAAGTTAATGTGACAGTCTTGATGTATAACTGCTATATTTTCTTTGCAGGTAATTTTAAGCTCCATTATATTACATCTCTTGCGCTTACATTGTTGATACATATTTTTACAAACAAAAAAACCATTGAAATGTGTTTTGTTGTTTCAAAGGGGGAAAAACGTCTTCCCTGGAAAACAAAATCACATCCCTTAAATCACACCTTAAATTGGGTTTTGTTATTAAATTAAACAAATTACATGAGTTCCCTGCAGAGGTGGAGTGTTTTGGTAATCCAGTTTTTTTTTTGTTTGAGCTTGTTTTTGAGATGTGAAACTACCCCTTTAGAGTGTGTTTGTTTTCAGGGAAAGCATTTAGAATCTAAATCTCATCTCTCAAGTCTCACCATATCACTTTCAAAATGGATTCATTGGTTTTGGATGAAATATGCTCACTTTCTAAGAGTGAAATATTGTGTGTTTGGTTACTTAAGCAATATAACCAACATGGCTTTTGACAATAAGATCACAATCAACACCATATTCACCGGGTTTCATTGTCGAACTTGGCAAGACGCTTATCCAAGGGACAGAAAATGCAAAAATATCATACTCCAAGGGCAAGGGGAGAAGAAACAGAATATATAGCTTCTTTTAAGACATACGACAACCGATGCAGTCCAAATACGCTTCTTAGTGCCATTTTATTATCACTTCAAATGAGAAAGATAACATCATTTGAGGTGTTGCACATAAAACAAAATCGGGGAATGCTGTTTTAAAACAACAAAAACCCCGTAATGAAGGCTTCGGAAACATTCGCTATAAGGAAACACTTTCCATGCATCAACTGAGAACTCAGAATGAATTACGAAAAATTCTACCCCAAATATCAGTACCATTGCTTCTTATTGGTGATGTGGTTATTCCATTGCTAAAGTAGGAGGCAAGAACGAAGCCATGGTACCCATGGGCTCTAAATGTACAACAAACGAACGTGTGGAGCCAACAAATGTGGTCAGAATATGGTTTTTTGAAACATATGAAAAGAATGAAAAAAGAATACATTTCATGATATAGCTCTGTTTAAGTTACATTGCGGTTCTCAAGAGGTAATATATAGATATTGAAGACAACAAAAAAGGGGAGAGAGAAGACATTTCTCATTACACCAACAAATGGAAACTTAAAGGAAAATTTGCAAAACCAGAACAAAACAAAAATGTCCACCCTAGCCATCGGATGTTTATCTTTTTTTTTCACTTTTTTTAAGGGGGGGGGGGCAGATGGGACAGAAAACACAAGATAATCGAAATTAATAATATACTATACGGAGTAGTATACACACCGTATCACTGGCATTCAGAACAAATGTACAGATGGATGATGTGTTGCCCAATGCATTCCCGGCAGCAACAGCCAATGGCCTCTTCACCTTACCTAAAACGCTGCTGTAATATGCCAGAAAGCGAGGCCCAACATCCCAAGTAAATTATGTGCAAGCATCAACAACAGCAGCAATGGTGCACGCATACATAGCTACCTTCTATACACACAGCTCATCCATCATTAACAACAACCACACAATGCTAATCAATGCATGTCGATTTATCTAGAATAGCTCCTCCGAGTTGAATTTGTTCCACGCTTCCTTTAAGAATTCATCCCAAAATTACAGTAATGAAGCAGTAAGACAACTGGATCAATAATTATCAAATATACAATTAACGTTTTGTTGTTTCAAAGGCATTGAAAGAGGACATTTGCGTATGTGCACGCGCACGCACGCGCACACGCGCACACACGCACACACACACACACAGAAAGAGAGATCTGCCTCTTTTTTATATAGAATGAATGAAATAAAAATTCACACTAATACAGACATCTATAAGAACTGTGCCAATAGCTCAATATTGCCACTGAATATAATACGACTCAAACTGATTCTAAATTCTAATTACTATATTTGTAAGAGAAAATTGATAACAAGTAGACCACCGTGAAAAAATACCTTGAGGAGATCAAAGACCTTCTCGGAAACATACTTCTGCTGAAGAGTAGCACCTTTCTGTTGCACCTTGTCAGGATGTATACAAAGGGTTGCTTTTCTATACACTTTCTTGACAGAGGCACCAGTGATCAAGTCTGTCAATGAAACAGGCTGCCACCCACACTCAGGCCAAAGAACCTGTTCATTAAATCAACATGAGTAAGTATTCCATTCTTTCACACAAAAAGAAAAACAAATACTCCATATTCAACTACAGAACTTTCATAACATGACCTTCTATAAATGATGATCAGTCACTACATAAACTGAAAATCATTATTCAATACATGAAATTAGTCAAACAGGGGCAACACTGTGAAAATGAAAATGGATATAGGATTATAATATGGCAGATGATCAGCATTAGTTTAGATATAATGAGCCCCTTCCCAACTCATTATTCTTTTCTTAACCTTCTACTCTTAATCTTCTGGGACTGTTGATGATCTCGTGCAAGTTGCAAGTTTGTAAAAAAAAGAAAAGGAAAAAATAACTCCAACGCACATATTGCAAAGTTGAAAGAAGTGAACGCAGATTTCCTTCCTTCCCAGCAGCCCATCTCTTGATTTCCATATCTAAAGTCTCAGCAATCCTCTGAAAGCACATCATGCCAACCAGTCAGATATGAGAGAGTAAAATTATAAAAGTGTACATGTCAACTGTCAATTGCCAAACTGTTTTCTTTAAGTGAATGTCAATTGTCAAATACCACATCCTTCCCATTAAAAGAATCCTTATTTACCAAGGATAACAACAACAACAACAACAACAAACCCTGTAAAATCCAGCAAAAGTAGCGTCTGGGGAGGGTGTATATGCGAACCTTACCCATGCTCAAAAGTACAACATATAAATTTTAGTAAAGTACAACAATTGGAAATCATCAATTAATAATACATTTTTTAGATGTATTTGTTGGTTGAACTAAATTTAACTTGTTCGAAATATGTTTTCAGTTAAAAACATCAGAAATAATGAAATCTAGATAAATATTATTCAAATAGGACTCTTTTGGGGCTAGAGTAATAAATTGTAAGATATTTTTTTATAAAAAAAGATTATGAGGTGAGCGTACATTATAAGCAATACTTTTCTAAAGCATTGCCAACCAACTAGCTTGCTGACCACAGAAGTTTGACTTTAGGGTTGTTAAACCCACTTGTTTTAATGTTAACAATTACAGAAACATATGAGCTAATATATGTTCGAGTATGCAGATACGACTCAATGGTTTTGATTCTCAAGAAGCGGATGGAAGCCCCAAAACCTATGTGTGATATACTCTGTTTGTACATGTTCACTGTACGTTGATTAAAACACTTTTCAAATCATCAAGAGAACTTTTGAGTTTTCAATCATTACTTAGGAAGATTCAAAACACTTGCTTTTCAAGTTCACCATTCTTTGGGTGCATATTTAAAATGATAAATTCTGAATCTTGTAATACTCAAATCATCAAATTTGAAATTCCGGATCAGTGTAAGATGCAGCCGGAGGCCGGGAGCAGCCAAGGTTGTGATGCTACCACCAAAGTCGTGATAAAACCACTCTAAGTACAACGTAAATGCCACATTTCCCACTTTAACAAGCCTAAACGAATCTTCCCAGTCACGCTAAGGACAACTTAGTTTTTATATGAAGCTTTTACTTCGGTGGCATCAAATGTATCCCTTTAGGTGAGAGTGTGAGACCTTTAGTTCAAATTTGAACAGCAAAAAGAGTTTCCAACTTCATAATGTAGTAATGTTAAGTGCCTTTTTGACCAACTTTATAACGCCAACCCCCCCCCTCCCCAAGGCAATACCTTTAGTTCAATGTTTGTCTTTCAACTTATGTCAAATACTTGTAATAAACCATATAATTGGAATCAGGAAGAGATGACACTTAGCAACTTGCATAATAAAATGACAACCACAGCTTAACTCTTATTTTTAATGAGTCAAATTTGTAATAGGATAGTATGAACACATCACCATTCCTCCAAGGAATATGAATGATGCGCACAACATAACCAAGGAATATGAATGATGGGAACAACATAATTAAATGGTCTAGCTTCTTTTAAATACTCTTGTAAATATATTTTTTGGGGGTGTGAAGAAAACTCACGCTCGTCACCTTCAAGTGGTAGAGATGCGGATGCTAAGATAAATGTGTGGACATACGAGGGTATATAGGATCTGGAATGAGGCTTTTCGGGGAAGGGTGGGAGTGGTAACTTGTGGAAGTTCGGAGGATTAGTTGCGACTTGCGAGGAGCTAAGCTGAGGTAATTTGGGCACGTTATAAAGAAAAGTGCTAGGCCCCGGTGAGGATCTATGAGAGGCTTGCGGTAGTGGGCATGAGAAGAAGTAAAGGTAGACCTAGAAAGAGCTGGAAGGATGTGATTAGACAGCACTTACATCTTCTATACTTTAATGAGGATATGACATTTGATAAGAATGTGTGGACACCTTTGGGCCTTAGTTTGTAGCTTTTGCTGGGGCATTTTACCTTAGTTTCTAACTTATGCATGTGTGTATTTTTGTGCTTTGGGTTTAGTTGCTAGTGTCGGTATGTGCTTCTTGTTTGTGGGCTCTTCCTTTGTTTGTGCTAGTGTTTACTTTGTTTTTACTTTGTCTGTGTGTCAATGTTTGAGTCGGGGATTTCATGGAAACAACCTAATTTTGTGTGATTTTATTTGCCTTGTTGTTGCCACTGTAATATACTTTTTTATGAATAAATAGCATTAAGCAGTTTAGTCCTTATGTTGAATTGTATGTTGTTCAAAAAAAACTACTTACATGTCTTTCTTCTTGTTCCCTTTGGACTAGAAGATCGCGTTGATTCTTTTCCGCCAAAGCTTTTGCCTGCAGGGATATATCAACCATATGCACAGAACAAGGCCGGCATATTCAAACATATCTTATATATAGAAGACATTCCAACTCGCAAAACACAAACCGAAAAACATACCGCACGCTCCTGAGTTCGTTGAGTGCGCTCCAACCTAGCTCTTCTTCTTTCATCACTCTCCCCTTCAACCTCTTGGAACTCTCCCGATGATGGAACAGCTATTCACATTTAAAAAATCAAATCCATGAGATGGCCTTAATATCTAAGACACCATGTTCTAAAAGAGAAAAACATAAAAAAAATTACCTCCAAAAATTGAAGACAGATCATCTACTATATTATTGGTGGATGACACTTTCTTTATGTTAGAGGGGACACCGCTAGAAGAAAATGGTGACTTTGCCCCCTCGGAACTCTTGTCCTGGAACTGTATCAATTATCAAACATTGTTTCCTTTATATATAATGAGGAAAAGTGATAGCTCAGAAAATATACACTAAAAGACAACTGATAACATAAGAGTCTTTCTCGTGTGTGTGTGTGGGTGGGTGGGTGGGTATCATGGGTTCTATAGAGTATAAACTACTCACGGGAGAAGATGTCCCGGGCACACTATTTGAGCGAGCACCAAAGAAGGACTCAAGATCATTATCATTCTTTTGTTGACTCATCCTAGAAGCCCTATCTCGAGCCTCAGCAGCAGCCCTTTCTCGATCTTCAGCAGCAGCTCGTTCTGCTCGATGGCGTAACTCAGCATCAGCCTTAGCTTTTTCGCGTGTTTCTCTTTCTCTTGTTTCTGCATTCGCCTTCTCCCTTGCAGCAACAGCAGCCCTTTCACGAGCTTCTGCTTGTACTTTCTGAACCGCAGCCTTTTCAGCCCGCTCACGCGCTTCGGCAGATGCTTTCTCAACAGCAGCTCTTTCAGCTTTCATACGTCCTTCCACGGCTGCTTTTTGAAGTGCCTCCGCAGCCGCCCTCTCACGCGCTTCCTTTGTAGCTCGCGCTACAGCTTGCCTCTCCCTTTCCCTTTCAAGCTCCCTTGCTCTCTCCTTCTCTCTCTCTAGTCTTCTCTGTTCTCTATCTTCCTCTTCCCTTTCACGTTGACGGCGTTCAAACTCTATTCGCTCTTGGTTTTCCCTATACTCCCTTTCTTGCAACTCATGTGCATCATGCTCATCTTCCAGCTGCACAGCTTCCTTAATTCTGGTAGCCTTTACATAGTCTCTCTCCCGGACTTCCTTAGCATGTCTAAATTTAGCCTGAGCATTGTCCACGGCCTCTTTCATTGCAGCAGCAGCAGTGTTTGCATTCACTTCTTCACCCAAAAAAACATTTTCATTTCCATCAAGGCTGTGCCGAGCCCTTCCCATGGCAAATTCCTTAAGTTCATCAAGTTGTGCATCTGGAGGGCTCTTAGCAGTGGATGGAGCAGATTTAGGAATCTGAGGGTATTGACCATAGTCATCAACTCTTTTTCTTGCCTGTGAAGTAAAGAAGACTGACTCTGACTTTGAGGTCCACCCTGGAATTGGAGGTGGGGGTCGGGATGGCGGTGGAGCACTCGTAGGTTGTGTGGAAAGAGGAATCTCTGACACAGTGAGCCAAATATCATCTGAAAGTTGATCAGGTCCCTCTGAAGTAGGAGATGTATCCTCAGTATGATTGGCACTTTCATGTGAAGGAGGAGAAGCAGTTTGACTGACAGTCTTTTGAGCCTCTACAAAAGGCATGTCAAACAGAGGAGGCTCCTGAAAGCTGCTAGTTGGAATTTCAGATTGTTTATATGAAGATTCCCCACTCTTTTCTTTAGATGTGGACATTTCTGAGTCATTTGTTCGTGGTCCACCCCTTGGAGGACTTGATTCTTTACTCATTCTATTCCCATCGTGGGAGAATGGTGGCATAGATTTACCAAAACCAATGAGTGGATCCAAGTCACCGTATAAATTTCCACCGGTAGATGAAGATTTTGCCCTTTCACTTCCTGGTTTTCCAGGCTTAATGACTTCTATAAGTGGTTCAGAAAATAACCCTGAAGAAGACACTGGAGATGAAGATGTTCCAAAAACTGCAAAAGGATCATCCATGACACTTGTTGTTTGAGTGGAACTGCGAGATGGTTTTGAAGGTTGCTGATTAGACCGTGTAGATGTCCTGTGAAATAAAAAGGTGACTGCTCTATAACTTGTTTGAAATTAAAAGTACGGGGGCACCAAAAACTTCAAAATGATAATAATTTCACCAATTTATTCAATGTCAGACAGGAAAAAATTATTCAAGCTTTTCACAGCACTAGATAAGAATTTCATTGAAAGTTGATCTAGCTAGCTAACCTAGCTTTGACTTCTGAGTTCTGACATTCTATATAAAGCCAATATATTCTCGTGTCTGAGAAAAAATTCACACAAAACTATATATTTGACCATTTTTGAACACTTGGAAGTACAAAAAAGGCTCTTCCCAAAAAAAAAGTTGAAACTTCTTAAAAGCGAACTGGATAGTTCATGGAAGGGATCACAATTTTGAAACACGCCTATCAAATAAAACTCTTCTCTTTTCCTCTATAAAGCACCCCAACATCATATATTGTTGAGGATAACATCCCCTACACCTGCAGATATGATAGCCCAGTTTTAGTGATGTCTCGCCATTGAAATCTGTGGCATATACCCACACATTATATTGCTTTTTTATATACAAATGGACATGATCTTCAGGTACACTTCAGTTTTACTTGATCCTTCACCCAATAAAGCACTGAGCAAGTCGACAAACTCATACATCTCGTAACCACTACTCTTTGTGTCCCAAAAAGACTTGCATGTTTTTCTTCTTTGTTTGTCCCAAAAAGATGTGTATATGTCTATATGTGGAAGATTTATATGGCTTGTAATTTTCTCTCTCCTTTGCATTAATTTCAAGCACAGTTTCCACTTTATTAAAAACTAGGTGCAGTCATGTACACATCTTTTTCAGGAGTACTACTTTGGTGGAACTAAGGTCCACACCATTTTTTGTGGATCTTCTCACATGAGAAACATTTTTTTTCTTTTTTTTTTTTTGCAAAAAAAAATCAGGAAGTAAGCATTTTCTTACCACCCTTATATGAAGGTCCACCTAGGAAGGGGTTGACCTTAGGTCCACCAGAGCATTTGGCCTTTTTGAGATAGAGCCTAGAGGGAGTACTATTTAAAATCTGATGTGAATGTTTTCTTTGGGAGCAAGTATCACAACTGCCAACTGCCAAGGCTAAATGTGCATCATAAGTTCAGCATCTAGTTCCTAATCTCTAGCTCTCTAATAATTTTATTTATATATTTAGTTCAGTCATTAACTACTTCCCTTAAAAGAATTGAATTAGCTATAGTTTCTTAGGACTCTTGCAATTACTTATAACTTTTTTATTAGCTACATAAGTGTTATTAGTTTTGAATAAAAACAATATAAAGGTCTTTGGAATGGTAAAGCTTTTTTGGAAGATTTAATTCTAATGGGAGCAAGGATTACAACTGCCAAGGATAAATGTGCATCGCAATTCCAGCATCTAGTTCCTAATCTCTAGCTCTCTAATAACTTCAGTTTTGTAGTTAGTTCAGTCATTAACTACTTTCCTTAAAAGAATTGAATTAGCTTTAGTTCCTTAAGAGTTAAGACTCTTTCAATTCCTTAGAACTTTTAGAACAGCTATATAAGCACTATTAGTTTTGACTAAAAGCAATATAAAGGTCATTAGTATGGAATAGTAAAGGTAAAGCACTTTTGGAAGATTTAATTCTAATACAAGGTTGAGCACCACCTCTCTCTGCCAAGGGCAGGAGAGGTGAGTTAATATGGCTGTCACCAATCACCATAGCTCCTTCCAAATTCCAATCATTACTTTCCTCTTCCCTCGTCTTCCCAAAGACATTGTGAGGGCTTACATGCACACGCTTATCATTATCTTCACATATTATTATCATATTCAACTGACAATTCTATCATGTGCTGCATTGATAAAGCTAAGATGCTGATTATAATTGACCTAAACATCCAGAAATGTGGTGCCATTATGAGAAAGTATTCAGCTTACCTGTTAGTAGTTGCTGGACTTGCGCTATCAAAAGCAGCTAGCAACTCGTCAAAACCTCTGGAACTGGAGTTCATACTGCTCTGTGGTTTTTCCACCTCATCCCTCCCCAAATAGCCCAACAGATCGTCACTGCTGCGATTCTTTTCCGGGTGTGAAGTCATTGGGACAAACAAGTTCTCATCAAAGATTGCTTGTGAACTTTCCGGCTTGTTCTTTAGTCCTGGCAACCCATCAAATATATCATCATCATAAACAGGCTTGTCGTACACAGGCCCGGAAGACGTTTTGCTGCTGCTGTTGTTATTGCTCTTTGGATCATTCCCTGAACTGAAAATTGATCCTATATCCAAATCATTCGATTCCAACGAACCCTTACTACTCTTGATACTGGAGTTCATATATTTAGGTGGACCGCCAAAAACATCGCTGAACGACATCTCATCCCGATCGCTCCGCTGCTGCTGGGTGGGGCGGACTGGAGCTGGACGGCGATCGCCAGGGCCGGATCTCATGGGAGCCGATTTTCCACCAGGCCGTATCCCGAACTCTCTGGCCAACAAATCCAGGTCGTCCATTGTGGGAGGGAGGCAGCTGCGTCGCGGTTCAGGTCGTATCAGATCTGAAACCCGAGAACTGCCCGGAAATGGTGCAGATCAAAGCTTCGAACCGGCGACCAGTTCGATTGTTCCGAATTGCATTAAATTATATGGATGTGAACGAAATCAAAAGGATGTTATACGGAGATGATGAACATTGATTAGGGTTTGAATCAGATTGGTGATGAAGCTTCTTTTTTTATTTTCTTCTTTGGTGCTTCCACGATACCACCTCCGTCTTCCTGATCTCTCTTTCTGTCTCTCTCTCTAGTCCGGTCCTCTGGTTTTTCAGTTTTTACATATTTGATTGATGAAAAGTTTAAATTTGCATCGACTGGTCAACTCTTTTTGCAAAATTAAATTTTAGCCCCTGTTTTTTTTGTTGTTTCATTTCGGGGTGAATTTGATGTCTCGTCTTTCTTTCTTTGTTAAATCTAAAATCACCCCAAATTTGAAATCATATTATTTCAAAAATATTGAACATGGTGTCATTTTTGATGGTGTCATATCTATTAAACATGTTGTCAATTTTGATGTGATTGTAGCATGTTTTATTTTATTTATAAACATAGTTGCACAATTTATATATTACCCCATCCTAGTTTGTTTAGTTTAATTCAAAAATTGCATTAAATAGTTATACAATATTATTTTAATTTCTTTGATCTTATAAAAATATGTATTAAAAATTATGAATATACGGGGTACAATGTAATATGGAGTAATCTTTAATTATTTAAAGTAATGGCCAAAATTCGTTGTATTTAAGTGTTTATCTACAAAAGAGTCAAACTAGAGAAACATACTTAGAAGATGAAGTAGAAAAATATGAATTTGTTTCAAGTAATAAGTTTTTTAAAAATGTGCATATTATAAACAAGATTTGCAGACTTGTAATCATTTTTAAGGCATCGACTTATGTGCATGATCTTGTTAAGCAAAGAAGATGTCCTAAACCACTAGACAAGCAGTATATATAGGCCTACATATACATAGGCGTATAATAGACTTCCTTAATCTCTAAAAAAGCTTCCTGTTTCATTTTTACGTATCTCATAAAACACTTATATCTCATTCAAAATATTTAAAGTGTCCCCGGAACAACTTCTATATATAATAAAGGGAAAATAAGGTGAATCTTAGACATCATAGATATGTATAGAAGTATATTTAGGGATGCGCCAAAAAAGAAACAGAAAGTTTATAACAATATAGAATATATAATAATTTATGACAATTTTCAGCAATTTCGTATCAAACCATTTTATTAAGATTGACAATATCATATCTTATTTCTTAAAGTTTTAAACTTGAGACAAATTTGCTAAAAACTACTCACTATTTAGAAGAGTTTAAAAAAGTTTATTTGTAAGAAAATAAATGTTCAAAATGTTCTTGTAACCATATGTTATTCAATTTTAAAAAGACTTAATAAATTTCTTGTAGTAAAGTAAGTTATCTATCAAAGTTTCTCATAATTCAAAATTGTCATTTATAAGCGAAGAACATGAGTACATGACGTGAATGTACGAACATGTTAACTAAATATCCATTCATGGGCCAACCCAACAAATTGGGTCGGTCCCCTCAAGCTAGTCATTAAGTGGCTCTATGTTAAGTCTTTATATAGTAGAGGACATCACTATGCCGATTAGCCTATACAATACAAAAAAAGGGGATGAGCGTCATCCCCGAAGGCCCCCTCAGACTCGGCTAAAGATGGAACAGGTTAAGTCTTGGTCGGGGGAAGTTGCCTCCTCATCCATCCATCGACTTTATTTTAATTATTCAATCCATCCATCATCTGTTACATACATCACACATCATGCGATACACCTATCATGGTGAGGTAGGTGGAACGGGTGAGGTGATATACGTAATAGTTTTTTAGTATTCGTCACATGAAACAAAAATATTATGAAGCGTGTAGGATAGAAAAAATATTTTAAAATAAGATATTCATGATGTTTATGATATGATCCTACAAAGAAATAATATTCTAAGTTACAAACTAAATATTTATAAAATGGAAAATTGGGAACTAGAACAAACTTATGTACCCAACAAATGTAATATTTCCAGCTTTAGTTTTCTCTAAAGTAAATATGAATGTATCGGGTGATGGATCGAGTGACGGGTGAGAAATACATTCACTCGCATCCAAGCCAATCCATCAATAGTCCATCCATCATCCGTCCATCACCATTTTCTTTTCAGGTTTTATCCACGAGAGAGGATCAGTTATCCGTTGAGTCGGATACAAATTGACATCCATAGATCCAGTCGGACAATCATTGAGAGGAGATATATTAGTGTTGGACAATGTGCTATCATGAATATATATTTTTGCAATGTCCTTTGCCCATTGTCTTTTAGGTTTTGATAATGACAAAAGGGTGATAAAACATCATCATCATATTGTGCATCAAGGCTAAGAATCAAAGCTACAATAAGTTCATATCCGTCCGTGAAGAAGGGACTTGAGCATCGGTGGAAGGAACGAGACCGAAGAGGTTGTTTCCTTAGTTGGGTAGTGTTTTAGGTCTTAGATTATGTGTTAAAGAGTATGGCATATCTAAGTTTCATTCCCTTATCATCCTACCTTTCAAACACATTTTTTTCAGCAAACTATTCGAATAAATTGAAAACTATTCGAATAAATCCCTGAAATTCTATTCTGACTTAGTTGAATAAATCCAGAACTAGTTGAATAAGTCAGATTGCAGTTTCACCAAAACTAGTCGACTAAATCTTGATTTAGTCGAATAGTTCGACAGTTTCAACTACCAAACGGCTAGTTTTTTGAATGCTTTTCATCCCTATCCACTCCCTAACTTTTATAAACTATCCTATCTCGTGTTTTTGGCCAAGAATATACATTGAAAGCACTTCAAAACATATCCTTTGAATATCCAAAGAGATTCTACTCAATCCCTCCTTATATCCAAGCAAGGCAATTGTTTTGATTGCTAAATCATTTCTTGCTTGAGTTTTTCCTCATTGCTTAAGTCTTTGAGAGATATTGTCATATTCTAAAGGACTTCATTGTATTTGCAACAATCTACTCCGTGTTGGGAGAATTACTCAGTTGCGGTTTGTTTTCTTACTTTATTGTAAGGGATTTGTATTCTTGGTGTTGGGATTACACCAAGTGGTAGAAATCCTAACGGTTTGTGAAATCAAACGTTAGGTGGAAGAAATCTTGAGTTTTGTGAAATCAAAACTTCGGTGGTAAGATAAGAGGCTTGTGAAATCAAGTTCTCGAGTTGTATTCGGATTGTCAAACTCCGTTAAGTTTGACGGGTTAGTGAAGGCCTGGGCACGATTGCTTCGGGGACTGGATGTAGGCATTTAGGCCGAACCAGTATATATCGTGTGTGCANTGCCATATTCTAAAGGACTTCATTGTATTTGCAACAATCTACTCCGTGTTGGGAGAATTACTCGGTTGCGGTTTGTTTTCTTACTTTATTGTAAGGGATTTGTATTCTTGGTGTTGGGATTACACCAAGTGGTAGAAATCCTAACGGTTTGTGAAATCAAACGTTAGGTGGAAGAAATCTTGAGTTTTGTGAAATCAAAACTTCGGTGGTAAGATAAGAGGCTTGTGAAATCAAGTTCTCGAGTTGTATTCGGATTGTCAAACTCCGTTAAGTTTGACGGGTTAGTGAAGGCCTGGTCACGATTGCTTCGGGGACTGGATGTAGGCATTTAGGCCGAACCAGTATATATCGTGTGTGCATTGCTCTTATCCTTCACTTTATTTTGTTTGTGGTGCATTGTTTTTGTTGAATATTCGCGAAGAACGTTTCCGCGCAAAAAAAAACCGGTCTTTTGGGCAACACCTCTATTCACCCCCCCTCTAGAGGTGTGCGAGGCGTCTAACACTTATGTACCCAACAAATGTAATATTTCCAGCTTTAGTTTTCTCTAAAGTAAATATGAATGTATCGGGTGATGGATCGAGTGACGGGTGAGAAATACATTCACTCGCATCCAACCCAATCCATCAATAGTCCATCCATCATCCGTCCATCACCATTTTCTTTTCAGGTTTTATCCACGAGAGAGGATCAGTTATCCGTTGAGTCGGATACAAATTGACATCCATAGATCCGGTCGGACAATCATTGAGAGGAGATATATTAGACTTTGGTTGTACATTAGTGCCAATGAATGAAACCTCACTTGGTACTTGGAGAATCTATTTGTTTAACATAGTAGCCTCCTATAAAATTTGAGGTATAAATTGACTTTAAAAATATCTATAATAGAGCATATCAAGTGGAGAAGCCAAATGCTAAAAATCCTAAAATATAAAAGGTTTATATGTTCCTATACTAAATTTTGATATCCAATGAGTGTGTTAGGTAGTAGTTTTAAGCTACTATTCTATTTATGCATGTTCATTTTGCAAATGCTATAAATAAATATAAATAATATATTACAAAAAAGGTAGACCATGTTAGTGCTGTTTGTTTCAGTCTCTTAATGGTTCAGATGTCTGAATGGTTCAGCACTTAATGGTTCAGACTGTTTGTTTCAGCTTCTTAATGGTTTAGATGTCTGAATGGCTCAGACATTTGCCTTTGAATGGTTAAGTATTATACAGAGTCTGAATGGTTAACACCTCTTATCTGAATTGATCAGACATTTGCCTCTGAATAGTTAAGCAATATACTAGCTCTTAATGGTTCAGACCTCTTACTAGTTCAGCACTTACCTATTCAGAAGTTGCCAAACAGCCCCTTAGAGTAATAATACTATATTGCATTTCTTTTTATATTCTAAAATATAAAAATTAATATAAAATTATTTTTCTTCAAAATATGGTTGGAATTGGTATTAAAAAATGGGCACTATTGAGAAGCTGAAATAATCGACCCGTTTTTGAAACGCGGGTCAACCCGCCTCCTTCATTTGCAGTAGGGTTTAGATATTTAATCGCAGTAGGGTTTCACTCCGCTGCCTCTTCCCTCCCAGAACTGCCCTGCCGCTCGGCTTCATCCTACGACGCTCGGAGCAATGGTATGCCCACAAATTTTTTCTCTCTGTCAAAGAAATCGACATTTATGTCGATTCATATATGTGTTACCGCATTATAGTATGCTTGCTAGAATCATTAAATATGGATGTTTTATGCAATCGGTCTACGAGCTTTTACCATTTGTTTCTTTCCCTGATTCACTCTTAAAGTTCTGTACTTTCGATTCCCGGAGCTTGTAAGCATCTTCTTCTTGTATTTTGAAGCTACGATTCAGATCTGCTTGAATGTTCATTGACAAAATAATTGCGCGCAGTAAAAAAAGCCTTCATTTTCTGAAATGGATCTGCACATATCATTTTGCATTGATTATGGATGTGAATTTGTCATGCAGGTCTTCATCAAAGTCCAGAAGAGCAGGGCTTACTTCAAGCGTTTCCAGGTCCCGTTTAAGAGAAGGAGAGGTAGTAATAGCTCAAGATGTTCAATGTTTTATGATTACTTTTTCTTCATTGTCATTTGATTTTGTTTTGTCACTTTACAGAGGGAAAGACCGACTATCGAGCAAGGACTCGACTCATCAATCAGGATAAGAACAAATACAACACTCCAAAATACCGATTTGTTGTCCGATTTGTATCCTAATGTCATTTTGATGTATTTAAGTTTCACCTTATTTAGCCTGCTGGTGGAGCAGGATACTATTTAATGTAGCCTGTGACGGCTCTCTAGTAATACTGCAAGTTCTTGTGAGAAAATCAAATGCATCTATTTTCTATTTGAAGCTTCACATGTGTGAAGTAGATTCGAGCAATACTTGACTATTGATTATTCTGCAATGTAGTAGTTTTTTTTGCTTAAGTGTACAATCTCCTGGATGGTATCTTTGACATCACCTATAGACCAACAAGGACATCATTGCTCAAATTGTATCAGCTAGTATAACCGGTGACATGATTCTTGCTTCAGCTTATGCTCATGAGCTTCCTCAGTTTGGCCTTGATGTTGGGCTAACAAATTATGCTGCCGGTACAATTTTCTACATTTCAGCATCTGTTTCAAGGTTTATTATTGATGCCCATAAATATTAATCAATTATGCTACTCAATTCAGCCTATTGCACTGGGCTTCTTTTGGCTCGCCGAGTTCTCAAGAAACTTGAAATGGATGAAGATTATGAAGGCAATGTTGAGGTGTGTTACCTTGGAAATTCTGAGTGCTATGATCTTTATGATACTCTGTTAAACATTATATTATTTAATGTGTAGGCATCTGGGGAAGACTACTCTGTTGAACCTGCTGAAAGCCGAAGGCCGTTCCGTGCTCTCTTGGATGTTGGTCTAGTTCGAACAACCACTGGGAATCGTGTCTTTGGGGCCCTGAAGGTAATATCTTTTATTAACTTTTGAATTCAAAAGTCACTATTTTATCTACTCGAAATAATAGTAAGTCTATTGTCTTAAGTTTATTATTCTTAAGCTCAATCCCTAGATGCTACATTCAATGTGTTAAACCTTAACCGGGAAAGAAGTTATGTGCCTTTCTATCAATATCGCTGAATTTATATGGTATATCATTTCTTCAGGGTGCATTGGACGGTGGGATCGACATTCCTCACAGCGAAAAGAGGTTTGCGGGGTTTGGTAAGGATTCAAAGCAGCTCGATGCTGAGGTTCACCGCAAGTATATCTATGGAGGTCATGTTGTAGCATACATGAATGTGAGTAAGATAATTGTGCCACTATCATCTTCATGTGAGCCCCTTGCAGGCCCCTGATTTTTGTTGAAATTGAGTTGAGTTCATATTTCTAAAATTATGGTCCATATTCACAAAGTTGCTTTAACTCAATGCAATTTAAGTACTTTGAAAAAGTCTAAATGCATAATCAAAGATATCAGCTAAGAGGTCACAACCAGCCCTACTTTTTATCTTTTTCATTATTAATAAAAAAAGATATCAGCCTAACTGAAAATGGAAATCTTTATAAGTTGTGCCAGAAACAGTTATTGGTATGCAATCTGCTCTGCTATTCCTCAAGCATTTACATTTTTTTGGGTGTGATCAAACCAGGGTTTGATGGAAGATGAACCTGAGAAGTACCAATCTCAATTTAGTGAGTATATAAAAAAGGGCATTGAACCGGGCAGTATTGAGGAAATCTACAAGAAGGTGCATGCTGCTATTCGTGCTAATCCTTGCCCAGAGAGACCTAAGAAGCAGGCTCCCAAGGAGCACAAGAGGTCTGCCCAATTTTTCTCTCAAATATATTTCCATCTTAAACTCTTATCCAAGTATATAATCATCATATATCAATGCATGCCAATTTTGTACCCCATAATATATTTACATTACGTTGTAAATGTGCAGGTTCAACTTGAAGAAGCTAACTTATGAGGAGAGGAAGGCTAAGCTGATAGAGAGGCTCAATGCTTTAAATGCAGCTGCTGCTGGAAATGATGACGATGATGATGAAGAGGATGACGAGTAAACGATATTTTCCAAATAATGTCACCCTTTTCGATCTTGTTTTCTCTAGTGTTTTTATCAGAAGTTATGGCTCAATTTTGCCTGATGCCCCCTTTCCTTTTCATAAGTTTGTGGAATTTGGATTTTTTATTGTCTACTTTTTCTCTTTTTTATTTAAGCTTTCCTTTCTCTTTCAAGTAGCTTACTTTCTACAAGTATTACTCCCTCCGTCCCGTTTTAAATTGCCCGTTTTGACTTTAGGGCATATTTAAGAAAGAGAAAAAATAGAGTTGACTTTGTAACGATGAATGAGAAAATAAGGTGGAGAAGGACTTATTTTAGAGGTAGTTTAGGTATTTTATTTTTAAAAGTTTACGATAACTTTAAAGGAAGGATAATGTGTTATTTATTTAAAGGAAGTTCTTTTTAAAGGTTAGGACGGAGGTAGTAAATTTTACACCATGAATGGCATCATGTTATTGACAATACTTCTGGGCAACTTTGACAATAATTGTTTTTTCATTGGCAACCCTGATTGGAAAAAAATGCATTTACTGTGTTAAGTGTAGTCTGAAAAATACAGTACTTCGTTTTGTAAAGATTTACTTTTTCTGATCGTCTTAAAAAGTAATTTCCAGTTGATGTAGAAGAGCGTGTGAAAAAAATGATTTGCTATTGATTTCTGCTTAAAATTTCTTGTTAAAAAATAATGAATTATGTAGTGCTCCTTTTGTCTTTGAGTATTTATTTATTTTTGACTTTTTTTCATCAAAATTGATAAATTTTGATTTTAAATTAAATAAAAATAGTACGGTGTATTATATTGATACAAAATAGTTTTATTAGATTAAGATCAAATATGTTTGAAATATTATTTTATCTTATTAATGTAACTATATATTTTATTTATGACAACGTAACTAAGGGCACAAGTGTAACTTCTCTTTAGGGGATACGGATTAAGAATGGAGTTATGTTAGAAATCTACTATGGTCTATGGGTGCTGCCATCGTTGACTTTTGTTAGGTTACGTTTTGTACAAAAAATTCAAACTATGAACTTGGAACTGAGAGTAACAATTTCAATTCTGTTGTTTGGTAGCATAAAATAATGTGAATTTGGAATTGATAGTGCCAAAAATGAATTAGAATTGGAGAATTCAATTTCAAACAAATCAATTCTATAGAATTTCAATTTCCAATTTCGTCAATTCCGTGTACCAAACGACTCTCAATGAATATGTACGCATCTATAATTTGTACACAGACGATGTCATTTATGGTGCTAACTTGGTGTTTCACTAGCGTTTTTGTTAACAATATAGTCCTCTTTCAATTTGAATTGTCTGTTTTAGTTTACGATATTTGATTGAAATTATTTTCAATTCGTTTTATATGAAAATAGGTTTAGAAATTAAAATAAAATTTATATATTTAAAAGCTATATCTAAAATTTTACAGTACAAAATAAGAGGTGACATAACTACATTATTTTATCAAATGAATCTTGAAAATAGGTAATGAAAGTGTTAGAAATTAAAACTTAACCCAGTGAATAGTAAACATCTAACTTAAATTAAAACGGAGAGAGTACTTGCCCTTCAACATTTTGAGTTGAAGTTAGGTGTGATGAAACGGGTAAGGGCAAGCGGCATATTTCAATTTGTAGGTATAAGCCGGAAGTTAGTGGTTTTGTTTTGATGTTGGGACTGCAAAGCGATCGGTCAATTAGTTTAAAAAGTTTACTTTTTAAAGTTTTACTCGAGTGGTTGAGTGTTGTACAAGTTTATTTTGTCAAGAGGATACTATCGCAAAAAGTTAATTCGAGTTTGAATTGTTGCAATGAAAGAAAGAACATGTTAAGAATGACAGGTTTGCACGTACTAAGGACAGATCGTACACTCTCTTTCGACAAATAAAATTCAGTCATGGTCAAAATGGATTGTATGGCCACGAGTCTACCGATTGTATTCGTTAAATCATCTGTTCATAAGATTAAAAAAAAACATTTTTTCTGAAGTTAAAAAACGAGAGCTGGTGTACTCATTGTATTGATACTCCCCCCATCTCACAAAATTCCCCATTATGCATTGAAAATTTTGATTCAATTTGTTAAATTATTACTCGTATTAGTCTAAACTTAAAAGTATGTACGGAGTATAAAGGAAGCTCTATAGGGTGAAACGACATGGTTATGTTGTTTTAATAAAAAAATCGACAAAAGATAGTTTAAAAAGAATTAATAATTTAACTTGAGAAAAATGCACCAAGACAATTTTTATGAGACAAAACTAGTAATTTTTTCCAACAGACCACGTAAAATATTGATATTTGCACTCTACAAAACACTTACCATGTTCTCTTTGCATAGTCTGATTGATTCTGATCTGATTAAAATACGTTTTGATATGATCTGAAAGTAATTATATTTAAAGCTATTTCTAATCTGATCTGGTCTAATCTGATTCCAATAATAATAATTAATACGGGTAAGTAAAAAAACTAAATTGATGAAAATATAACCTAATTTCACCTCACTTTACCTTCATTTTTTAACCTAAGTGTTATAAGACATTTTCTCCATTGTCCTTGAAATGAGTGGAAGCAAGCAACACACAATCTATCGGGTAAACGGGTCCTCCAATTGGCCCAAATTACCGTCTATTTGGGTCTCTAGTCTCGACACCAATTTCACCTCACTTTACCTTCATTATTTGAATCGAATCGCAACCAACTTCTTGAAAGGGATAGCCAAATTATTCAACCAATTTTCATGGTTATTGTTTAGATTAAAACACTCCATTGTCCTTATTAGATTGACCCTTTAAGATGGAACTTTAATAATCAATGGATTGACATCATGAAAGAACCATGCACCTCATGAGTATATTGAGAGATGACCCAATGTACCCGACCAGTTTAAAAAATAAGCCATGGAATCAACTAACCAAGAACAGAAGTTCGAAGGCAGTTGAAGATTTGAAAGATGCCAAACACGGCCACGAATGCATATGAAGCAATCCAAACTCCAGCAGCAAATAACAAACCCAGAAAATTGGGGTTTCCCATAAATGTTCCTTCACTTGCTGAATTAAGTTCCTCGCGTCTTCAATGCAACATTTTGACGATTGATATCTATAACTGTAAACAAACAAACAACATTTTAGCATGAACCGAAGTAAATATTAAAGAAAAGTATATTAAGTTTGCATTATACTCCAAGGTACTTATAATGTAAAACTATAGCCAAATAAATGGTGATGGTAAATCATTAGCACAATATGCACCAGCGAAACAGTTTTATAAGATCAAGAGAAAGTACTAAAATATAAACTCAGAACTTGGGGCAGAAAGAGACATTATTTCATCTAATGATGTTTAATTTTTACCCATTTTTAATTAAAAAGTGATAGGGCAGGGAATTGGGATTGGGACACTAAATGGTTTAAGATGCATTTCACTTAGCTCCTAAAAATTTAATTTTGTAAATTCTACAGATTAATTAACTGAGTGTTCCTTTTTTTTTTAGATTAAGATTTTTAAATGACCAATCAAACATACAATCAATACCACTCTGCAAACCAAATCACCTCTTTCAAAAACACCTCATTTTACAGCAAAATTTAGAATCTAACCTCCCATGAATTCAAACCAAATGGAGGCCATATAACAACAACAACAACAACAACAACAACAACAACAACAACATTACCCCAGTGCCTCAACGGATCCCGCCCATAGCGGGGTAGGGGGGGATCGGGTGTATGCAGACCCCTAAGTTTAAAACATAGAGCGGTTGTTTCCAGACCAAATGGAGACAATGCATATGAATTTAGTGTCAAGTGCATCCTCTATGAATTAAGGAGTACTTTTTTATTGCACAAAGATTCACACTCTTATATTATAACATTAAAATTCACACTCAAAACAAAAAAAAATTTACATGTTTTTGTGGTGTGCGATTGTATCGGGTGGTAACAACTCGTCATCCCAAGGTCAACTTAGCATTTTACAAATTTATAACCAAAAAAAATTCCTACATCTTTCTGCCCTATCATTACATTACTCCATGCCTATCATTACAATACTCCAATTAATTACTCATAGAAAGATATAAATTAAATGCAATTATTCTGCTCATCAGCTCAATATTTCCTGTCAAAAATCCGTTTGAGTCAAATTCTAGGAACTTTTATCACCAATTACATTAAATTTGCATTTCATATTAATACAGTGAAATAAATTTGTTCGAGTCAAACTTGATCAAAGTATAATTTGAAATTATTTTTGTACAAAAATCCAATACTAATATAGTAATATCAAAGTTTGTTCAGTTTAATTCCAGTCTGAAATTGGATTTTTCACAATTAATGTTCCCCTTTTTTCTTTCAAATCGCCTCTTCGACAAGAAGATAAACTCAGTCTAAGATCATACAGTAATATTTTAGAAGACGAAAGAAATCGCCTCATAATCTATATATAAACCCACACAAACGGATTCCAGGAAGATCGATAGAGATGGAGAAGAAGAATCTTACACAGGAATCGGATAGTGAATGTTTAGTCTTCGTCGTCTTCGTCTTCTTCTGGGGAGGAGAGGAGAAATCGCAGTGATTTGAGATAGTTCTTTCCGTGTTTGAGTTGCTTTTCTCCCCTGAAACACGTTTAGATTCGACGCCGGGTTGGGCCCGAGTTATGGAAAAGTTGCTGGGCTTTATAAAGGAAGGCCCTTTATAAAAGTCTTTAGCATTTCGTAAAAAAAAATTAAAGGATGAAACTTTAGAAAATGCTACTTTTGATAGGGGTAATAAGATTGTAAAAAAAAACATTTAAATTTGATTTAAAATAAAATTAATATGTTTTGAGAAATAAAAAAACGCTAATGTTAATAAAACATTGTTTGAGAGCAAAGCCCAAGTCTTTCTAAGAGAGAGGGAGTGCCCTACATTTTCAAGTATATATTTATTTAATGTACTCATAGTAAAATTTCAAATATATTTGAATGTAGTTATAAAAGTAATAATATAAACTTAAATACATTATGTATCTAGATGACATAGAGCGGGTTCGAGTGTGATTGTGAGAGCAAATGTGAGTGCATGGAAACACTAAAATTTAAAAAGTATAAGTGTGGATGCGTCTTAAGGTGTTAAATAAAAAATAAAAATTTTATACTCCTTATATGTCTACATGTTTGCTTCAAAATTACTCATATTTTCAGAGGATAATACACTTGTCTTATTAACTTGATCAAAAATTAAATAGAACTTATGTTGAGTGTGTGTGTGTATGTGTTAATTGGTTGTTGGCTTGGAAGGGGTAGTGCCGGTCACGGAAGAAAGGGTAAGAGGCCAAAGTAAAGGCGACAAAATCTAAACGGAAAGAAAATGGTAAAAAGACTAACCCTAACAAAATAAGCTCTTATATGATAAGGGTAGATATATTGGTGCATAAATAGTACTATCTAAAGGTAAATAACTAATGAGAATATACTACATTAAAAATATAATTATTTTTGAAAGTATTAATAAGGATTGTAGTTTTTGGGCCATTTGATTGGATGGCTTTCGGTTTGGGCCACTTTTTGGGCTTTGGGGTCAACTTTAGAACCAAAAAATTTATGAATCAGTTTCGTCAAAAGGCCCAAAATATGACAGGAGGTATGTATAATCCGGGTCTCATTCGTTGATTTGTTCTTCGGCTTTTTCGAATATCTCAGTTCTGTCAAGCAGTTTTCTCCATTGTTTCTGCAAGTAAGTTTCCATATGTGCCAAAGAAATTACCCAGATATTAACGATTGCTATTATAATTGTACCTAAATGAGAATTTTAGCTATGATTGTTGTATTTAGAATGAGCTATATTCCGTATGTGGTGCTGCATATGTATTGTGGTTTACTGAATTGAGAATCTGGTTTTAAATTCATCAATTTGGCATTTCTTGATCATAAATTATATTAAAAAAATTTGAAAGAATCATGCTGTATTTTAGGATTTTTAGCTGTTTGACATGTTTAATGAATCCTTTCCCCTAAAGTCCATAAGCAGCTCCTACTCTTAGGTGACCACATCAATTTTAGAATGGAAGAATTAGAGGTTCATAATGTTTGCTTGAGTGGTAGGAAGCCAACTCCCCGGGATTCACGGGGAAGTTCACTCAGGTTCGAGTTCCGGCGGAGGCGGAGACTATTTGTGCGTCATTAGGTTGAGAAAAGTACGAACAAATACTCCAAAGTTAAAATCAACTTGTGGGGTGCAATTGAAGGGAGTGGGAGGGTGTGTTCGGGTCGGGGCGGGTGGGGTTTACCGGGGGGTTAGGGGGGTAAGAACCGTCAATTTTACAAACGGGGCACCGGAGCGCCCCCGGGTCATTCCATGACATTGCCGAGCAATGTCATGGGAACCTTTCCGATCTTGTAATAGAATCAAGATCATTCAAAAAAAGTTACAAGTATTTTGTATTCTCTTAACTATGTAAAAAAATAGTAAAAAAGAAAGAAGATAGTTAAACTCTAGCCAAGTAAGCTAAGGATTCAGATGAATATGCATATATGGTTATGTACTACCCGGATTGTATTGCACAGCTCTGTAGTAGACACAACAACATTACCCGAGTGCCTCAAAGGCTCCTGCCCATTGTGTTACGCCAGCTCGAAAGTTGCATTGATTAACTATTACTCCACTAGCAAAAGAAGCACAGATAGTTTAAGAATCAATTTGCTTTATTCCATCTGACTCCAAACCTGTATATAATTCCCCAATTGGGCTAATCAGTCTCTATCTGGGCTGTGAGAAATTGTATCCCCTTGAAAAAATCTTTTCTTTTTATTTTGTGCGAATGATCCTCTCTTAACTAGTCTTGGTCGTACTTAGGGTTTCTGTTCTGGTATTTGAGATTGCAGGTTTAAGATGCTCCAGTTATTTCTCTCTACACCCCCCTTGAATGAGAATGGAGACGATAAGATAGCTGAGCAGATGAGATCTCATCTCAAGGAGCTAGAATCTGTTATATGGTCTTTGATATCATCTGGGCATCGATCTGAAGCTCGCCTTTGGCTTTGCAAATCTGTGGCAGATATTCATTCTCTAACGCCCCATCATAAGAAAGAGCTATTTTTGGCCTTGTTAAGGTCAAATACAGCAAAACCACAGCGTCTGGCAGCACAAATTCTACAATTGCTTTTCGACAAGCATCCGCACATAGCTGGACCAATCATTTCAAAGAAAAGTTACTTGCTAGAGGAATTTTTTAAAGGCAAGGCATTGAACTGAACTTCAGTTATCTGTTTCTTGCTGAATATGATAACAGAGATAAAAAAAGAAGATCCATGTATTTATGTATTAAAATTTTTGAATGACATTATTGTTCAAATGTATGAGAAAATGAAGGCTGCGCGTGAAATTTTGTAAAATAGGTTTTAATGATGATAGCTAGTAGAACAAATTCTTGCATATACTTGTGGATTTACATCTTTCTCTAAGCTTTATTGTTAATATTTCTTCTCTGTGTTGCTATGTATACCCATTCCCTTGTTTTAGTTACTATGGCATTGTCTGCTAACACATTTCCTTTAGTAAATGCCGTTCTGTTTATGTGGCTGACTTTTTATATTGTAATCATGAAACGTGCAGGGAATACAAAGCATATTTTGCTGTGGTTCTCTAACTTTGGAGGTTCTGGTGATATGCACTTTAAAGGAGCTAAGGCACTTTCCCGATTTGCCTTTGTGAATCGTGACATTTGTTGGGAGGAGCTTGAGTGGAGGGGGAAACACGGGAAATCGCCAGCCATGGTTGCTACAAACCCTCATTACTTTCTTGATCTTGATGTCGAGAAAACCGTAGAGAATTTTCTTGAATATGTACCTGAGTTCTGGTCATCCACTGAGTTTTCAGAGTCATTAAAAGACGGTACAATTTTGTCAATTGATAAGACATATTTTGTCGAAATGTTTCTTGACCTAATGTACAAGGACGACATGAAAGAAGTGTGGGATGTTATAGATGTTTTTCTGATGGAAGAATCTTTCTCTACTCTTTGTCATCACCTTCTTGTTGCACTTGAGGAGGAAGAACTGTCTGTTTTCCTGGATTTGATCCCTCGATATCTTAACCCAAGGTTAGAAACCATGAAGTTTGATAGGCCATCTTCTTGGCTTGAGATCCTGCTTTCAAAGTGCCATAATAATGGTTCTATCGATGAGCTACTCTTGTTGAATGCTGTGACTTTTCAAAGCCGTCAACTTTTGTTACTAGTCCGTGAAGAGGCCGACGAGGAGGAAAAGGAAAAAATTAGAAGCATTGCTTCCCAGATTTGTACACTCATAAATTGTGGCTTTGCTACAATTCTTGGAGAGTGTGCTAGAAGGAAATCCTTGGAGATGATGAAATTTTTAGGATTGCAGGCCTGGGCTTTGCATTTTCAATTGTTAGAAGCATTTCAGACTCCCGCTTCTTGGGAATCCTTATTTGCTAGTAATGGAATAGGTTTTCGCAAGTGCGGGAATTACTCATTGTTAAATCATGATGAATCTCTGGAAGAGAGCGAGTCTGAAGGGGAAAAGAGGTCTTCAAGTAGCTCTAAACGGAAGAGGAAAAAAGCCTATCGAAGAAAGAAAAAGAGAAGGGATTTTGATCACGACATGATAGTAGATTATGAGGATGGTGTGTTAGATGATGACGTGCAAAGGCAGGATTGTAACTGGTTGCTCTCTACTGATGGGTATTCCTTCTCTTGGAGCAGTGTAAGTTAATAATTATTCTTTTCCTTTATATTTTCAACTGTCCATTTTGTTAGGCTCTGCTTGGGAGTTGGGACATGGAAAATTGTAGGAAAAGGGCAAACAAATACTAAAGAAAATGTTTTTATTGGTGCAAGAGAAACCCGGACAATGCTAGCAAAGGAAAACAGGGAAAAAAGATAGAATGAAATTTAGAAGGGAAGAAATGCGTTGGAAAATTAAAAGCCGATTCAAACTTCATAGACCAGTTTTTGATATTCCTTCAAAAGTTAAAAGAACTTTACTCTTTGGTATTAATCCTCCCTCCCCCCCCTCCCAACTTTTCTAGTTCCACTAGTTCCAATCTAACCTAGATGCATGGTTTGACCCTGGAAATGCAAAGGAAAATGCATGTAATTAAAACTTTAATTTTTTACAATTTACATATATTTGAATTTCTTGGTATTTATATAATAGGACTATTTATTATCATAAAAATGAGATTGAAGAAATATCCAAAATTGAGTTCGAAACATTTAGTTTTTTAAATCACCACACCACATTATCTTCCATTCCTTATTTACTATCCAAATTTTCCCTAGAATTTCCCTCCTACAACACAGACCCCAATGTTTTATCCCTTTTTTCAATTGTGTTTTTGTGATTGATGTACGATATTGCATTATAGTCTTGCATGATGATTGTGGAATTTCTCAGTTTCATGAGTACTCTGATGTTTTGCAGGCAGACCTACCAGGACATATATCAAATTATTGCTTCTTTATGTGGCTGAAATTCGTTTTTAGCAACTGAAGAGATTCTGCGTTCTGATATTGTCACATGAGGGCATGATGGGTCAAAGACTAGCTTGGTTACATGTAACCTCTTCACTACCGGCTACAATCTGCTAGAATATAAAAGGTTTGATGCGTTCCCCCCTTTTCTTTTGAAGTTCTCTTTTCTGCATTGTAGTCTTGCGATTGTTGTTGTTAGTCACTGTCATTGTGAAAAGGCTGATTTGGTTGTTAACGAAAAAAATAGGGCATAAAATATTTTTATTTTGAAGCCCTGAACCCTGAGGTGAATATAAATACAACTTTACCTTAATGTACGAATGCTATTTTCTTCAAATTGTCAAGGAATTGCATTTACCTGTTACTCTCTCCATCCAAAGGAAAAAAGAGTGATTTTTAAGCGTAGTTTTGCCCTTTGAAAAGAGACATATCTTAACATAAGAAAGAAGCTAATCGCCCAGAAAGGATCATGATATCATTTCATCTTTGATGCAATGTTGCAGATAACGACGAAAGGAGGAATGGGTTGTCTTCGCGGTGAACACCCTCCCGTTTTGTCTGCTCTTTTGCTGTCGGAAAATCAAGTTAATGGTGAAACACAAACTCCAGCTCTAACGACGGGTTAGGGCCTGAATTCTTTCTTCATCTACTGAGATTTGGCACATTTGTTAGGGGACTCTATGACCTCTCTTGCAAATTCTTCTTCTTCTTCTTCTTCTTCAGATAGTTGAAAGTTGGCATTTATCATTCCCAATGGCGGTATGCTTCATCATATGATTTGCTTATGTAGGGTTTGAGAACTCATATGTATATGCTGTAAACAAAAGTGAATTTAGGCGGAAAGGGTGAGATTGACACATACATATGGTAAGCATAAAGTGCACATTGGCAATGATATATTATGAAGACTAATTTTCGTAGTTGGATTAGAATTGTGATTGTTTTCATGTTTGAAATTAAGCACGTAAAATTAGGCCACCATTGGGATTTGAACCTCTGACTTCTTATTTGAGAGTTATTATGACGCCGTTGAATTACAAGGTTTTTGATGTTATTCATTAATTATTTATCCTTGAATTAAAATAAAATAATACTCCGTGGTATTTCCATTACAAAAGGAATAAAAATTTTCTCCCTCCGTCCATTTCGAAAAGATTTTCTTATTGCAAGTTATGATGCTCTAGTAAAACTATTCAATTCAATGCATATAAATTTTAAAACTATATCAAAACTTACAAAAGAAATATATGAAAATACTATATAATTATTGTAATCAAACTAATAAAAAAAGGCAAAAGAAGTTCTTGTGAATAAATTAATAGGGATGGCAACAGTGAAAAGCAAGAACAACTTTTGAATTAATATCTGCAGTATTTAAAAATAAATTTATAACCCCTTCATTCCTAAATAAATGTATTTTTTACTATTAGTAAAATTATATTACCTCGTATTTTCTTTGCTTAATTTCTCTAATTTAGTTCCCATGACATTGAGAATCAATGTCATGGGATGACCCGGGATATTCCGGTGTCCTGTTCGTTAAATTGACGGTGTTACCCTCCTAATCCCCCGGTAAACCCCTCCACCCCGCCCCTACCCAAACACGCCTCTCCCCCACCCCCTTCAATTGCACCCCCAAGTTAATTTTGACTTTGGATTCAAAATTTGACTCCAAAGTCAAAATTAACTTGAGGTGTGCAATTGAAGGGGGTGGGGGCATGTTTGGGTAGGGGCGGGGTGGGGGGGGGGTTTACCAGGGGAATTATGGGAGGTAGGAACCGTCAATTTTACGAACAGGACATTGGAGCACGCCCGGGTCATCCGACATTGGGAACCAATGTCATTGGAACCGGCCTCTAAATAAAGTATGGAGTATTCATAACACCTTGTTCTAAAAAGAATTGATGTATTTTAATACGGAGTACATAATTTTTTTCGCTAAAATAACTTTAATGAAACATTCAAAATGAAAAAAAAAATACAAACTTCGAGAAATGACTGAAAAATTGGAGCTAAGATTCAAGTTTTGCTAAAATTCAATAGCAAGAAGTTCGCTTAAAAAAAGGAATGCATGCATCCATAAATACATTAATTAAACCAATCAACAGATGGAGTATTAGTTTTGGATACAATGAGAGCTTGTCAACATTTCCTTGACTTACGCTTTTGCCCTTTTGTGGCACACAATATGAATATATTTGTAAAACAATAAATCACCAATGAACCAATGATCCTTTATTTCAAATAGTATCAGCAAACCACCCATCATCTAGTTTGCAGACAGAAAAGCTCCGCCCGCTTCATTCTTCTTTTGCCCTGGAAACCAAATGACATTTTTTTTGAAGTCAAAACCAAATGACATTTAATATGGGTTCTAACTAATACTCCCTCGGTCCCGTTTTAAGTCGCCTAGTTTGACTTATAGTGAAAAATAAGGAATGGAAAAAAGGAGTTGACCTTCCCGAATACCCTCAAGGCTATGGGAACATTTAAGAATTGAAGTTCAATTCAAAAGGCAAAACAAGAAAGCAACACGTGCACGTTCCTATAGACGGGTAAGAGCCACTAAGGCACTAACACATCCATTCGGCCTCTAATGTGTAACATTTGTGTATACGTTAGTACGTTGGTGTTCTTTTGTCACCCATCATGTGTGTCGTAATATGGCACGCGTGTCATTGAGGGCCCATGGTGTTCCGTTTTACCCCAAAGTCATTCCTACTCTCCCTACCCCCCACAAACCCCTAGCCCACCTTGTGCTCCCACCTTATCCTGTTCTCTAGCCCCTGCCCCTCCATTTAGCCGACTGTATCATGATGGCAAAACATGAGGGTTGGAGTGGGCGTTTGGAGAAAAGAAACCACTTTGGGATCGAACAAAGCACTGTAGGACCCCCAAATCAGCCAATGTCATGTTATTATACAGTGTCATATAATGGCTCATAATGGATGTCAAAAGATCCTAGCTCATGTTAGTAATAGAAAACTTACGTGCCGATGTGTGTTCAGGTAAGCTCACATACTTGGGACACGATGAATCTTCTAGGTTCGTAAGGCTAGATTGTGTTGCACAATCACGTGGCTGTAAGAAGAACATATATTAGACCTTCATAAACAAATATATTTGGTGATTATCATATTATAGATTGAAAACCTAAGGTTCCATTGGGGGGAGGGGGGGCGTTGATATTTCCGAGTTGCAAGTTCCCGTATTCTTTGAAAACCAAAATATGGGTTTTCCAATTTTTTGTTGTGAATTTTCAAAACTGACGTGATTAGTATGAGTAGTTTTGGTTGGTTTATTATACAACATACTCCATCCGTCCCAATATGTTCCTGTTTCATTTTTTGCACATCTCATAAAACACTTCTACCTCACCTCAAATGTCTAAAACACTTTCAAAACAACTTCTACCTGCAATAAAGGAGAAGTGTAGTGAATTTTAAACATTATAGATGTGGGTAGAAGTGTTTTATGGGATGCGCAAAAAATGAAACATGAACATCTTTTTGGGACGGAGGAAGTATATCATACTCCGTATAACTTCTAAAATTATACTCGTAAAAGTAAAAACAGGCAACTTGCAAGCACCCTAACTTTAACAAACAAAGAAATGTATATGTCAAGCCTTATCTGGCTGATTTCGCTTATAAGCAAAACGAATTGTAGATATAGTTTTTGATTTCTGATAGAAATAGATGTTACCTAATGCTTTTTGTTTAAAGAGAAAGTCTCATGTTGATCCAGTCATTTCGATCAACAAGTTATACCAAGAGCACTGCACAAGGAAATCTAAACTCTGATAATGCGAACAGATAAGAGTCTAACCTCAAAGTTCTTAAAGAAGCATAGTCTGAGTTCATCAATAGCACCACCAGAACATGCCAATTCCGGGGTTGCGTGGAAAGCATTTTGAATGGCTGAAATGATGCCTCCTAAGGGATACTTTTCAGAATTTGAAGGTACATATCCCTCTTTGTACAATACATCCTGGTAAAATACGTTGAATAAGATATCAATGGCCATCATTCATCAACCTATTAATATTCATTAGAAACATGATAGAAGCTCTAATTCATAGACTAAAACTGAAAAATGACAATTCAATCATTTACCGTAACATTATATTTGAAGAAGACATTCAGTGTTGTCATGAAGTATTCGTATTCATTCCGGACAACGGGAGTGGAACATGTTCCGTGTTTCTCTGAAAAATTACTCTAATTAGAGTGGAAGTGCCAAATGAATTCGTCTATAAACAGTCATTTGAAAATTATTCTCAAATACTTAATATACTCGTAGTAACATGAGTCATCTTGATGAAAGGAGGGAAAGCCAATTACCCCACTGTAAATGAGTGTCAAAGGAGTCAATGAGTGCCATAGCAGAATGTCAAAATGAAGAGAGAATTAGTTTCATAGTCATGTATTGGTTAACATCAATGAAAAGATATATATTTAAAATGCCTGAAAACCTCATGCGCCCAAAATGGTCCTTTGCTGCGATGGCAAGTTGATGAGCTACCACACTGATAAGTTGGCCAGTACTTTGTCAAGTCACCCATCAGAGTTGAGATCTACATCATGACACAGGCATGGAATCGCACCTTAGAAATACGTTGGACTACTCTTAGCAAATCCTAACCAAAGTTTTTCAACTAATGATGTGTTTGGTTTGCATTTGTGAGGTGATTTTGTTGATTTTATAATCACAACCACCCCTATCTGTTTTCTATCATGGCCAAACTGAGATGGTAATTCCGGGTTGCAAAATGAAATTATAGAAATCACTCTCCCCAAAATCTACCAGAAGTACTTAGGGACTAGGGTCAACCCTGATTTTGGAAATCACCATTCGCATTCCAGAATTAGAATCATTTTTTTGGAAGTGCAAACAGAACGCCCCAAAACTTTCGGTACATTCTTGTCTAGTCCTAAGGTCCATATAAGAAACGTGGACCTTCTCACATAAGCAATAAATTGTAATATGAATATGCATTTATTTTTTTATTTTTAAATTTATAAATTTGAGAAGAAGGTCCATCATAGAAGTAATAAAAACTTTTTAGATTCAATCTAGTCCCGACACAAAATGCTAATTCCCTTGTCAAAAGATCCGAGCATTTGCAAACACACCTCGCTTTCATTGAATTGGGGACCTTCGCAACATGCTGGCCAAGTTCCATCATTGTAATCAGCCCATAGTCCATCTGTAAAAAAACAATGCATTCTCTTGAGTAATATTATACAGGGCATGCTTGTCTTGATTTAGCACTCTAACCCATCCTTGTTACATGATTTTGAAGGATACAAAAATAGGTAAAACTTTTAAAGCCACAATTATTTTGGAAATTAAAATTCGAGTAGCAGGCGAAATTATTTGGAAGGGATGAAGTAAATCAACAGAATCATGCGGATCAGGACTTACGGATTGTGAATTCGGTTGGCGAGCTGGAACTGCACAAGTTACATAAAAAATGGAAAAAAAAAACTAATTTGTTAAGTTAAAAACAAATAAATCCACGAAGATTTTGGAGTTTGAACTCATCAGAAACATGTAATGATGAAGATCCATCAGTATATTTACCGGCAGCAGGCATTGGATGAGCAGCAGTGGCGAGTGTTCCGGCACTGGGTGCCAGGCCATAAGAGAGATAGCTTGAAGAAATCAAATTCTCTCTGTGACGACGACACGTTTTCGCCGTCCCCTCCGCCGCGGAATCGGGCGGCGCCGGCGGATCCAATAAGCATGATCATCAGCAGTTGCATGGGGACATAGAATCTTACCGGTAGAGGCGCCATAGCTCTGCTTTTAGCTCCCTGCTGCGGCTTTACCTTTGGTACTCCTTATTCAACATTTTTATTTGAAGATAAGCATTCAACACATTCATTTACTCAATAATTAAAATAAAATAAAATAATAATATTGAGTACTCCGTACGACTCTAGTCTATGAGTATTCCTTTAAATTTAATTTTCTCAAAATTAAATTAGATAAATTTTAATTATGAACTAAATAAAAATTATAATGGATATTAGTAAAAAAATATTTTATTATATTTATATTATTGAAATCTTTAAAAAAATATTTTACTATATATTAATATACTTGGTATAATATAAGTTTAATTTAATTGATAATTAAAATTTATGAAGTCTGATTCAAAAAAAATTAAACTAGAGAAAGAGCATCATTTTTTGTGTTTATAAAAATTTTGTATGTACAAGGTGATATTTTAAAAACGTACGGTAACATTACTGTATTTCTAATAGTACATCAATATTTACATAAACTGAAATGAAAATAATTTCAATTAAACATTATTTATAATTTTGTCAATTTTAGTAACATAGATATAGTGTTTTTTTATATTTTACTCCTTAAGTTCCAAAAAAAATTATTAAGATTTAACTTTTTTTATCATAGCGTATAACGCTTTGCAGGGAATTTTGAGAAAATTATATTTAGTTATAATATTTTATTTGAAAAATGTTTAGTTATAATATAAATTTAGTATAATTAGATTCTTTTTAAAGTATAATTTTTATATATCAAATTTTTATAATTATAATTGTTTAAAATTATATTTTGGGCACAAGCTCCTGCTTTGTGAAGCCCTGAGGGATTGAAATAAAAAATATGAGTAAATTTTTTGAAATGTTATCTCCGTTCTAGAGTATTTATTCAGTTTTGATTTTTTTCGATCAATTTTTTTCCTCCTTTGACTCAAAATTAAATAAAATATATATTGTACATTAATTTGCTTTAAAATATTCTAAAAATATTTCATATAATAAATCTAATATCATTTTTATTATTATGCTCGATATGGATGATTACACCTCCTTAAATAGTAATGGTTCTGTTCAAACACATGATGCTTGTGTTTAGACACAACCTTGCTCTCATGTGGAGAAATTACGCCAGAGAGAAGGGTTTTAGCTTCAAATTCCCAATTGGGAAGAACGTGATTTCAAATCCCAATTTTCAATTCACAATTTTTTTTAGTTTTCGGATTTTAAAATCCCGATTTTCAAAAGTAAATAATTATGGAATTTGCATGGGCAATTAAAGAACCGTAAGTCAAGTACACATATTTTATTTTTTTGGTTTTTCTTTTTCGGGTTTTAGAATCCTGATTATTTTAAATAATACAAATAATTACTAATTTTGCATGGGAGGTGTGTCACAAATAGTCTATTAATATAAACATTTAAAATCTAAAAAACTGAAGAAAAATTGAATTTTTTCATAAACAAAAAATAATGAAAGAAATATTTTATTGAACAAGATACATCCAACAAAAAGACCAATAAAGTTACATTAAGTGTGGTAGATGTATACATTCATCCTCCTCTAGTAGCTCTTCGATCCATCTCACCAATGTACCGGTTACGCTTACGTCTTCATGAACGCGGAAAGTCACCAATATCTAAATTGGGTTGAAAAATAACTGGCTGAATCACTCTACTATAACACTGTAGATAATTTTGAACAGAATATACCGGTGGGATGAGACTGTCAGCAACTTGACGCTTAGAGTGGAAAACAGCATGAACATGAACACATGGGACTGCATCGGAAGACCATCGACCACAAGTGCAAACTCTATTCTCGAGATCCACAATGTAGCTATAGATAGATGATGGATCTGTTGTAGAAGTATGACTAGTAACATATTGGTTGTTGCCATAGTCTGCAACAGCCCACTTATGTTTTGTTCGCTCACGACTTCGTAAGATGTTCGTAATTTTCGGAATGATACGAAATTTTTTTTGTTGCCAATTGAGTGCAGTCTTGTGCCGTTTTGTAAAAGATTCAACCATTTTGCTATAAGACATACTCAAAATGGCAGTGACCGGTAACATCCGACAACCCTTAAGCATATTATTAAAACTCTCTGAACTATTGGTTGTCAGAATCCCACATCTAAAACCACCATCATAAGATAAGGCCCACGCTTTACGTGAAATATCATTCAAGTAGAGATATGCCTCTTCACTGACATTCCGTATTTCTCCCATATATCCTTGAAATTCTTGCATATTAGGTGTGCTCCCAGCGGACCACACCAAACGTTTGAGATCCGAGTTACGGAATTTTGTCATGAAGTTGCTACAGATGTGACGTAGGCAAAAGCCTTCATTATTCTTCCTGTTTGAAGTTCAGGAAGATCTCTATACGCGTTGATAATTCCATGTATAGGAAGATATACATACGGAGGAGACTTCAATTATTCAATCCACTTATCCACCCCATTAAAAAACCACTTCCCACCCATTAAAGTTGGAGTACCCCACCTGCAAAAGTAAATAACTTTTTCAGAAAAATTGGGATCTCAAATCCCGTTTGTTTTAGGCCCTATTTTTTTAAAATATTCTTTTGGAATTTTGATTCCCGTTCTTCCCTATCAGTCGACCAGGCTAGTGATGGGGTTATTCTTTCCGTAGTTCTAATGAAGACATTTAGATCAATGAAAAATGGAACAAATTAATGAGGTAATTTAATATATCTATTAGTTTATTTATTTATTTAAAAAACAATTTAAACTTTGAGGCAAGTTCAAGTGACATTAGCCGGCAATGTCATAGGATGATCCGGGGGCGCTCCGGTGCCCCGTTCGTAAAATTGACGGTTCCTACCCCCAGTAAACCCCCCCCCACCCGGCCCCGACCCGAACACACCCCCTCACCCCCTTCAATTGCACTTCACAAGTTGATTTTGACTTTGGAGTCAAAATTTGACTCCAAAGTCAAAATCAACTTGTGGGGTGCAATTGAAGGGGTGGGGGTGTGTTTGGGTCGGGCCGGGTGGGGGTTTACCGGGGGTTAGGAAGGGTAGGAACTGTCAATCTTACGAACGGGGCATCGGAACGCCCCCAGGTCATCCTATGACATCAAGGTTCAATGTCACTTGAACCTTGGTGCTAAACTTTTATCGATTTTGTATTGTTTAAGGCATCGATCGTTGAAGTATGATTTAACGTTACCGTTTTTAAAGTAATCTATACTACTAAAATTTTATCCAAAACCTTATTCTCAAACAAATAAAAATAGGAATATGATGGAGTAACATGGCAAGGCGAAGTATGGGTTGAGACGAGAGTAACAAACACGTGGGCACACGTGTGTTTAAAGTGTGAAAAGGAAATGAAAGTGAAGACGACGACGCACTCGCTGCATTTCCAGCCCGGCGCTTAGCTGGAAGCATCACCGCGCCGACTCAGTCCACCACGCCTCCGCCTTCTCTCTCCGCCGCGTTCCAGAAGAAAACCATCTTCTTCTTCTTCACTAGGAAGCTGCCGAGATGCACCGCAGTCCCGCCCTTTTTCTTCTCATCGCCTTGTGTGCGAATCGGACTTCATCGGCCGCCGTTCCCAGCCGCCGCGTTCTCCATCAGCCCTTTTTCCCCGTGGATTCTCCACCTCCGGTCCCTTCCCCTCCGGCCACTGCCTCTCCGGAATATCCTTTCACTTCTCCTGTCTCCGATGATGCTCCTTTCTCCCCGCCTTCTCCGGGTGCACTTGCTAATGTCCCCGCGAACGCCACTTACCTCAGCATTCCTCGTGTTTCGCAACCCAAGTCGCCGTCCCTGAAGCGCATCTCCACCGCGATCGCCTGCTCCGCCGCAGCTCTGGCCGTTATCGCCCTCTCCGTCGCCGGATTCCTGCATTTCCGGAAGAAGGGGGAGTCATACTATCCAGGTGAGTCCAAAACACACGGATCCGATTTCAGTAACCGATCGGATGTTGGTAATAATGAGGGTGCCGGAGCTGGTGCTAACCGGCAGGCTCTTCCCAAGCTCCGGAGGCCGTCTCATCCCAGTTCCGAGTTTCTCTATTTGGGCACTCTGGATCCGAATTCTCGCGGAGGAATCGAATCCCCTGCTCCAGCTTCGAGAAAAATAGACTCCCCGGAGCTTCTCCCGTTGACCCGGCTTGACGGGCTGGGTTTCAGGCAGAAGTATACCAACGCACAGGGGGTTCCCGTAACGGACGGCGAGGGTGAGGAGTTTTACTCCCCGGGAGGATCGTCGATGACAATCGGATCGGGTATCGGGAGAGCTGTCGGCGCGACTGAAGTCGAGAATTCCGGTGGTGGGTCCACTTCGTCTTCTTCATCTTCATACACTTCGTCTAGTTCCGGATCCGGCTCGCCCAGGAGGTCTGTCTCACTGAGCATCTCGCCTCAGCGGCCGTCGATTTTAAACCCTAAACGCACTATTCCCAAGTCGCCGGAATTGGTGGCTGTTCAGATCATTCCTCCGGCACGGGCTCAATCTTTTCCATCTCACTTCCCCGCGAGAGATTCTCAGTCACCTTCATTGGCCACTTCATGCTCGCCGGAGATACTTTCTGTCAGAAGCATTGGATCATCTCCGATAATATCAGGAATTTGGGATAAAAAAACACAATCTCCCGCAAAAACCAGCAGTCCTAGTCTGGGTTCTCCGGTGGAATCTCAGGCGATCCCACCACATCATTGCGTCTCTGTCTCTGCTCCACCACCACCTCCTCCACGGCTACCGGTAGCTCCCCTGCCTCCCAAAGTCAAACATAGAGAAAATCCAATTGCCCCTATCCCTCCATCTCGAAGGGCAACCTCTGAATTGACTCCATTATTGCCCACAACAGCTAAGAGTGAAGAAGTGTCTTCAAGTGAAAATGTCCAGAAAACGAAACTGAAACCATTGCATTGGGATAAAGTGAGAGCAAGTTCTGAGCATGAAACTGTGTGGGATCATCTCAAATCAAGCTCTTTTAAGTATGATCAATTGAAATTCTTGTTAATTTGTTCTTGATTTTTTCCCTTTGCTCTATATATAACAATTGATTTCAACCATGTTGCAGGGTGAATGAGGAGATGATCGAGACATTGTTTGTCGCTAATGCCCCAAATCCAAAGCAAATGGAAACAACTCGGCGTTCTCTTCTTCACTCCCAGAACCAAGAACACAGGGTTCTTGATCCGAAGAGGTCACAAAACATTGCAATCTCACTGAGGGCCCTAAATGTCACCATTGAGGAAGTATGTGAAGCTCTTTTAGAAGGTACTTCATACTCCGTATTTCCTTTCTTTAAATTATTCACTGAGGAATTTGAAAGGGAAAAGAAAAGATAATGAGATAAAAAAACAATTTTTTCTTGTTTGGTTTGAGAGGAAAAGAAAATGAGAAGACACAATGTATTAAGAGGGAAAACCAAATTCCTCACATTTTGGCGATGAAAATAAAAGAAAACCATTTTCTTTTCTTTCCCATCCAAATTCCTTGAACCAAAAATAGTGTAAGTAAACTTGTATAGCATTTTGCCATCTCCAATTGCATACTGCCTATGTATAAGGTCTACTTACATCACTCCCAATATTCTGGAATGGATTTAATGAGTATGTTTGGTTTTGTGATTTATGCCAAGATGATGATCAACAACAGACCAACATACCTAGTATAATCCCACAAAAAAATAGGGTATGGGGAGGGTGGGAGTGTGTTTATGCATACTGATAGAATATATTGTATAGACCAGTTGTTCACTTGTTCATATGTATACAGTTGTAGTTAGACTGCCCGGCCCATGTAGAATACCTCGCGTAGCTGGCCACCCCCTATATATTGCTTATACTACTCATTATCATTCATTGAATACGCAGATTTTTTATGGTATCCGAGCCTCTCTTCTAGTCACATTTAAAAAAAAAAAACTAATCTTTCCCCAAACCATGTGTGTTCCTCCCTGTGCCCTCCTGCCGGCGCTTGTTCTCTCAATAAAGCCACCCTCTGCTTCTCTGCACACACACACACACACACTCTCTCTCTCTCTCACATACACTGACACACACACACACAATCTCTTCTTGGTAGTAGAGAGGCACTCTTCATCTTTTACTCGGTAGAAGAGAGGTTGCTTCCAAAATGCCAATATGATTAATCTGACAATCTTTTTGGGTTTAATTTGTTTCCATAATAAGTTATCTTTTAAGATTTGGTGTTTCTATTAGTTCGGCGAATTTGGCAACTGCCCAATATTTGGCTGCATTAATATACGGAGTACATGGGATATGAAGAAAAAGATGATAAACTCTGAGTACATTTGAAACTCGTAAAATGCTACGCGAAAAGAAAGAAATGATAATTAAAATTATGTTCTTGTGTTACGAAAGACATATGCAGAAAAGGGAACGGAATCCCAAAGGGATCCGGTTCAGTGACTTTCCTAGTTTTTCCTGTTCTTGTTATGTTAGGAATAGAACTTTACTTATTTATTCTCCCTCTTCCTATATAAAGAAGGTTGAGCCTTTGTAATCCGCAAGACAATTCAATACAGAAATATTTTTCCATTATTGTTTTTTACATCTTGTGTTACATCTAATGCCTTAAATGATGGTTTATATTTTTATATGGGATCAATGACATCAAGTTTGTCATGACTAAAATTTTACTCGCTATTCAGGAAATGTTGATGCCCTTGGAACTGAGGTTCTTGAGAGCTTGTTGAAGATGGCACCATCTAAAGAGGAAGAGAACAAGCTTAGGAAGTATGCAGATGATGACGATTCGCCATTCAAGCTTGGACCAGCTGAGAAATTTCTCAAGGCAGTACTTGGTGTACCTTTTGCCTTCAAAAGAGTGGACGCAATGCTTTACATCTCAAATTTCGACTCCGATGTTGACTACCTCAAAAAGTCATTGAAAACTCTCGAGGTACTTGAGTGGAATATAAACCTTGTTTGGGAAATACCGTTTTCAATGAGTGTTGACGTTTTGGACAATTTTTGATGGTGCAAGTTAATTTTCAAAATGCTAAAGCTAAATGCTGCTATTAGATGACTTTTTTCAAAACGCTTAAGCTGTTGGTACCCAGCTTTGGGTTCATACCAAATCTAGTCATAGACTAATTTGGCAATACAATATTTAGGGTCCATTCCATTTAACTTATTTTTTCAGCTTATTGCTTATTCTTATTAAAATCAGATCAGACTAGATCAAAATTTGTTGTAATCACATTGTTGTGTTCTGATTCCCAGGATGCTTGCGAGGAGTTGAGGAGCAGCAGGATGTTTCTGAAGCTTCTAGAAGCTGTTCTGAAAACCGGGAACCGGATGAATGTGGGGACGAACCGTGGAGAGGCACACGCATTCAAGCTCGACACTCTCCTCAAGCTGGTCTACGTCAAAGGGACCGATGGCAAAACCACCCTCCTGCATTTCGTGGTCCAGGAGATCGTGAGGAGCGAAGCTGCTAAACTCTCCTCTCCAAGCAAGCACCAAACCCCACCAGACCACCGCAAATTCCTGAAGCTCGGCCTCCAGCAGGTCTCCAGAATCTCGTCCGAGCTGACGAACGTGAGGAAGGCCGCGGCCATGGATTCAGAAGTCCTCCACGGCGACGTTCTGAAGCTGTCCGAAGGGATGGTGAAGATCTCCCAGATGAGTGGGGGCAAAATGGACAGAAAGTTTTCGGAATCGATGAAGAGGTTCATGGAAGTGGCAGAGGAGGAGATCGCTAAGGTGCAGGCGCAAGAAAGCGTTGCCCTGTCCCTGGTGAAGGAGATAACTGAGTACTTCCATGGGGATTCTGCCAAGGAAGAAGCCCACCCTTTCAGGATCTTCACTGTGGTGAGGGATTTCTTGGTGACGCTGGATCGCGTGTGTAAGGAAGTGGAAGCCATGAATGAGCTGACTGAGAGTAAGTATTCCTCTGGTTTCTGCTAATGGATTCCCAGTTCCTGCAAATCCCTCCATGGGAGAGAGGAGGGCACTCCCCACTCCAACCTTTTGATCATCACTATTTACTGCAGGGTAGTTTTTTTTTTTTAACCCAATTGGGCTGACATGATACCATACCTAACCTCAGCTAAAATGTGCATTTACATTTTAGGAATTTTGTATGTACTATATATATATATAGAAGATACACTGTAAATCTTTTAGGGGCACACCGGGATGGCTAGCAGAGACCTCTTCTTTACGGAATGTACATTTATCATTTGTACAACACATTAATTTGGTTGTTTTTCCTTTATGGGGTTTTGTATCCTAACCAAACTTTGCCCATCTCTCTCCCCTCCTTGCAAGTAGATATAATATGGATTTTGAAATCTGAAAGAAATTGTATATTCGGTATAATCTAAAACTTTATTTATATTCCACCAAAAACCCACAAAAAGAATGTGATATGGACACGTGTTCGAGAGATATTAGAATTTATTATATCACCAAAACTCATATCACTGGATGAACCCTAAGTTATTTTTTTAAAACTAACTTTAGCACATTTAACATTTTTTTTAATTGAAAAAAGACATTAATTATCATCAAAATCATACTTTTTTCTCAAATTGGACTTTGTTTGAGACAAAAATATACTCCCAAGTACTCCTTTCATCACAATTTTAATTGTCTATCGTAGTTTACGTATTTGAATACAATTATTTTCAAATTAATTTATTTTAAATTTGGGACTGAATAAAAAAATAAAATATTTTTATTTAAAAACTACATCAAAAACTCTACTAAACAAGATGTGACATAAAATCAAATGAGTAACGAAAATAAATAAAGAAAGTAAATAATATTTGACCATATGAATATTAAATATACAATTTAATTTGTTGTTATCAAAAGCACCATTTTTTGGCTTTGGGGTGTGATGGAATAAATCAAAATGGATCTCTAAACTGTTTACGCTTCTTTAATTAATGAAGTAGCAGTTAGTCAAGCAATGCAACTTTCGACGTTGAGCCGGGGGTCTCTTTGGAAACAGCCTCTCTACTTTCGAGTAGGGGTAAAGTCTGCGTACACACACCCTCCCCAGACCCTACTCTTGTGGGATTTAACTGGGTTGTTGTTGTTGTTATCAAAAGCACCTCTCCTTAGATCCACTTTAAACAAATGCAAATCATAATCACCAAACCATACAGAAATCAGTTCAGCAAGAACAAAACCACCATTGTGCTTTAGGAAATGGGTACTGTGAATTAATAAATGTTACATACTAATTCAACAAAAATGGCAATTGGAGACAGTTGTATAACCGTGGTTTATATATACATATTATAGAACACCAGAAATCATAACTTGGAATAGAACAAACTTTAGTGCAACAAACAAAACTTGCAGAAAATTATGGTTCATAACCTATGGGGGAGTACTCCGTATTATTTTTTTAAANCCCCCCCCCCCCCCCCTCCCCCCTCATTCCTTTTTAACTCACCATTACGACTTTCTTGATACATTGCAAAATGAATGAATATAGACATACATCATGTCTACATTCATTCATTCTTCGATGTATCAAGAAAGATACAATAATAGTCAGTTTAAAAGGAATAATAGAGGGAATATGTATTCCTCCGACCAGTCATACCTCTCGAGCCACGATCAGCTCATCTAACCGAAACCCGTCGTCTGTCTCCTCGGGCAAGATGATGTCAGCATCCGTCGTGAAACTGTAACGCTCCCCGATGGCTCTCAGAAACTGGAACACCTCAAACATCGACGGCCTCTCCTTGGGAACATCCGGAAGAACACAGCGACAAGCAACCTTAAGAACCTGGACAACCTCCTCGTCACACCCCTTCCCCATCAGAGACTGGTCGATCGAATCTTCGAGCCTAGATTCGCCCGAAAGAACCGCGACCCATTCCACCAGACTCCCCTTGAAGCTCTCTGGGGCTCTGCTCACGTGCGCGGGCATCTCGCCCGTGACCAGCTCCAGCAGGACCACCCCAAAACTGTAGACGTCTCCCTTCGGGGTGGCGACCAAAGTTCTCAAATACTCGGGCGCGACGTAACCGAAGTCCCCAAACTCGCCGTTCACGAAAGTGCTCAAATGGGTGTCGATCGGGTTCATGAGCCGGGCCAGCCCAAAATCAGATATCTTGGGCCCGTAGTCTTCGTCGAGTAAGATGCATTTGGAACTTATGTTCCGGTGGAGGATTCTGGGGTTACAGCTGTGGTGGAGCCACGCAAACCCCTTGGCCGCCCCAACGGCGACTTTCAGTCTCAAAGTCCAATCTAGGTGTCTTGGTTTTTCCCCATTGTCCGGAAGGTGTAACTTGTCGTGTAGGGTCCCGTTTGGCATGTACTTGTAGACCAACAGTCTTTCTTGTTTAGCCATACAAAACCCCAAAAGAGGGACTAAGTTGCAATTTTTAACTGTTCCAAGAGTGGCCATCTCAGATGCAAATTCTTTCTCAGAGTGTTGGGTGTTTTGCAGTCTCTTGATCATTAGAGGTGTGCCGTCTGCAAGAACTGCCTTGTAAAGAGTCCCCGTTCTTCCTGACCCGATTATGTTGCTTTTGTTGAAGTTTTCGGTAGCTTGCATGAGATCACTCAATCTCATTTTCGAAACAGACTTTTCGAACATAGAGAGCTGAAAGAAAAGTATCATTGTTAGAAAAAACAGATCACATTATGCAGCTCTCAGGTTTTGATGATTTTGGAGGGGGAGAAAAAAGTGAATGAATTGTGTGTGTGTGTGTGTGTGTTTGGTTTGGGGAGGAAAGTGGATGAGCTATAAAATCCTCTAATATCCTCAAACCTCAGTCCCCCAAATTTGGAAATCTTGGAGGTGGGTATTTTTCTTAATTTCTTTTACCTTTTCTCTTCTACCAATATTGTAATACACTGTCATTGTTAAACATCTAAATTTATGAGTATGTTTTAAATTCCAACAAAAATTACACAAAACAAATGTCAAATTAAGCATACTAGACCAAAAAAGTCGAAACATGGCAAATTGTTTTGGGACGGAGGGAGTATACCTATAACAAATGCAAATGTTAAGAGATCCCTAACCTGCCCTCCCCACCCCTTCCCCTCAAAATATAAAGTTCAATATGTTTCATTACCTAATTTTGGCAAAAAAAAAGTACGATTTCAAAAAAAAAAGAAGCTAATTTTCATGGAATCTAATGCAACTCCCCGAAAAACAGCTACAATAAGGAAAGTATGTTAGCTTAGTTGAACAAACAAACAAACAAACAGACAAATGTAAAAATGTCAAGAAGGAAATGTTGGATTGATATTTTGCAAAAGTTATAACTTGACGAAAAATACATTTTTTGAGGATGGAGGTAGTGCAAATTTTGCAAATGTAATGATATTACGTGCAAAAAAACACAATTTCGTACCTTGATGGTTTTGGCACCCCTAATACTCATTGCCCACCTATTACCATCGGGATCTTCTTCCTTTTTCCTGGATGTCCTGTGCAAATAGAAGCATATGGCACTTGCCAATACAATAATTCCAAAAGTAACCCCACCAGCAGCTGCACCAACAATTAATCCAGGGTTTTCTTTTTTTGATGCACCCTCGCATCGTGGCAATGATGGGGCCCCACATAGTCCAGAATTGTTGGCATAGCTAACTTCAGTAGTGAGCTTTCCAAAGTTTGGAACTGGCCCATTCAAACGATTATTTGCCACTCTAAAGGTCTTGATTCGACTGAGAAGACCCAGTTCGGGAGGAATTGGACCAGTCAACTGGTTGTTTTCAAGATTAATAACATTCAAGAAGGTACAATTTGCAAGGTTCTTGGGGATCCCTCCAGATAAGTTGTTGGATGAGAGGTCAAGAGTAGTCACAAAACCAAGGATTTTGGAGATGTTTGATGGAATGGGCCCGTTGATCTGGTTGTTAGAAAGATCTAACCCGGTCAATGCTGAGCAGTTCTGTAGGCCAAGTGGAAAGCTTCCCTTGAGTTCCATATATGGAAGACGGATATTGAGAACCTTGCTTTCATCGATATGCCAGCAATCAATCCCTGTAAATCTACAGATGGATCCTTCAGTGTTGTTACTGAAATCCCAATTAGACAAGAAGCCCTTTGGATCCTTCAAAGATGACTTAATTGATCTGAGACAATCAATATCACTCTGAAGACAGTAACAAAGACTGTTACTCAATAGGAAACAGAAAAAGAAAGTCCAAAACATGATGGTAGCTTCGTCGGTCTGTAATTCAGCACCGTGCTCCTTGATGATTATGACTTTCTAAAATTGTAGCCTGATCGGTACATTCAGTACCCGTACAAACTAGTACGTGCGACTTCAACATCAGAAATCAATCTCATTATATTCTCATTTGCAAGAACCAGATAAAGAACCTGCAAACAGCCAAACGATTTTTTCGTATCAAGAGATAGTTTTTCATTTTATTTATAACACAAATCATGGATACCAAGAAATATAATCTTGTATAATTTGCAAATGCAATAAATTACTGTAAATTGAGTCGAAGAAACTGAATAGGGAACAAACAAGATATTCAATTTGCATTTCAGACCAATCAGCATAAGCCGGGAATAAGACATAGACGAAGCCGTTATGGACTATCGTGTTGTGAAACAAAGTCTTTATCTCCAATAGAATCATTATCTATAAAGCTAAGTGCATCATTTTAAGATGCATCATTCTTAAACTAAGTAAAGCAAACGAGGAGAAACATTAAAAAGTGACAGAGAGAGAGAGAGGACATAATGAGAAGTTTGAAAAAAGGAGATAGAAGAACCAATAGAGTCCAACATACATAAATGATTTGTTCAAGACAGAGAAAAGTTATAAGCCAATCATTCTTTTTCTTTAAAAATAAAGTGAAGTTTTAGAAAAAAGTGAAGTTTTTTGCGGGATGATAGGAGTAATAATTAGATGCCAAATTCAGTTAAAGTTTAGTTCACTGAAAGAGAACCCCTCATTGAGATATAAAACAACATAAGAAAACAGGAAACGTCCTTGTTAATAAAAACTTCACACACAGAAACAACAAACGTAAACCTCGATCAGGACTCATGACAAGAGTGAAAACAGAGCAAATATTCGATCAAAACATGAAAATCCAGCTGCGTATGGATTCAATTATGATATAAATCTATGAATTTAACAATAACAGCAACACAGGAGAAAAAAAAAAGCTCGAAGAAGGGAGATCTGGAGAAAGTGAAGTTACAGTGTGAGCAGTAGATCTCGAGGAGCTGCAGGAGATAGAGAGCTAAGAAGCCACAGAGAAGAAGATGGAGATGAAGATGGTGAATAAATGGGGGAATTGATGGTTTTGGGCAGGTTGAAGCGGTCAAAGAAGGAAGGAAGGAAGGCTTTGGGCTCGGCCGCGTGAAAGCGAAAGGGATACGACTGTTAGCTTGACTTTCCGTTCGCCTTGCTTCCACACACTGCAATTCCATTTTTGTCCCTACACTCCATTAGGAAACATTCAAACATCCTATTGCCTCTCCTCTCTTCCGCAGTGATTGACTCATTGACTAAACAAAAATGACAAGAGAGACTCCAAGCATTTGACACCAAATGCATATCAAGACTAATACAGAGAAACAAATGAATATTTAATGTTTTTTGTGTTTTAGTATTTGCTTTGGTAGGTACTCCGTATTTAGTATCAAAATCTTAGAGTCCTCTTAGTTTTCTTTTTTATTAAAATTCTCAATCATTTCAAAGCAAAGTCACAAATGAAAAAACAAATGATATTAACAAAGGAAAACATGGGTATTAAGATAAATTTTATGTGATGTGATTGAAATAGTGGAAAAATGTAGCAAAACACATTATGGTCTAGTGATACCCTTGTTCTTCTAAATTAAAGGTCATGTGTTCAAATCTAGAATTGACCTATTTTAATGATTAAAATTAATAGCCTTCAGAAGAAGCTAAATTTTGAATTTGGATAATTTCTAAAAGCTACTGATTTTAATATTTTAAATTAGGGTTATACATAATTCGGGTCAAACTTCTTGTATAATAAGTCCATTATTTTTAGACCTGTAAAATTCCGGTCTATTTCGATCCTAACCTGAAGTTTTACCGGGTTAGACCGGTAAACGAATTTAGCCTATACACATCAATATTTCTAGCCCACTTCATTTTCAAGCTCAAATTCCCAAAATGCCCAAATCCTCAGTAGCCAAAAACAAATACGGAGAAGTCTCACAATTCATAGAACCTATAAGCAAAGTCCCAATCATCGATCGCAAATTCCGATCGCAAGTAGCAGCATCCCAGATTCGAGTATCCAGTTTCTACCGACGGGAGTAACAGACGGAGCTGAAGATCTGCCGGCGACGGCGCGACGCAACTGACTCGGTCGCCTGTACGACTCACAGGTCAGATTCGAACCTCTTTGGTTTTTTTGCTTCTTTTTTTTAATTTTCTTTTCTATCTTTCAGTTTGGGTGAATCTCAATCTTCTATAGATGTTGAATTACTTCATACTACGTAGTATATTGGATCTCCTATTCTTATTTGTATGTCTTTTTGTATGTAAAATACTAAAATATCATATAATTAATGTAAATGAAGTCTGGCTCTACATCAATTTTGTCATTTTTGTGTAGACCTCTGCATATTTCAACCTTAAGCTTGCTATTGTTACTAAAAGTAGGAATAGAGCAGACTGGAGTCAGGTTCTTGAAGCTCCTTAGTCATTTTTCCTATAAATTGCTTTAAGTTTTCAATAATTTTCAGTTCTTGAAGCTTAAAAATTGCAGGCACGGGTTCTTTAACTCAATTATCTTTTGATATAAGTTTATTATGAATAATGCTCTTAGTATAATATGAATTTGAATTTGCTATTGAAATTTAACTTTTTTTTCTTGTAATTGTGTTTGAGACTTGATTTGTAACATTTGGAACATGATACTAATTATAAAAACTAGGGTCAAGTTTTCTTATATTTGTAACTGAAAATTTGTTTTTATATTGTTATCCAAAAGCCGAGTTTGACACTTTACCAAATGCAATTGCAAATGTGTTTCTGTTACTCACCTATTTCGAAACTTTCTTTTGGTTTGAGTAAACCATGTTAGGGTTGAGCTTCTGATTTTGAATGGACTCCTGAAACTATTGAGGTTGATATATATAATTTAAAAGGGATTTCTGAAATGAAAACGTTTTGTTTTCTTATTTAATCATTTAATCCTTTCTGAAATGAAAATGATTGGGTTTTGAAAACCATTTACATAGCCAATCCTTTAATAGCCTTCATCCCTAAGAAAGTACGGATAGGGCAAACCTTGTAGGATCGTTTTTCAGTGGGTCACCCATCCTGGGACTACTCCCGTTCCAGCACGCTTAACCACAGAGTTCTGAAGTTAAAGAGGTGCCAAATGCTTCCTAAAACCAATTGGTAATAGGAAGGTGGACAATTTGTATTTAACCACATCTCTCTGTAACCCCAAGCCGAGGTAGATTCCTATAGGGCACCCCCTATAGTTCACTACGACAGTGCAGAACCCCACTACTAAGCGGTGGATGGACAGGAGGGGCTTCGCAAGATACACGACTCATGTACCTCGTCAGGTTGGGCTGTCAATACCCGATACCGTGCTAAGCACAGTAGCGAATCCCTAAGGGTGATCGTTGGTCCCCCATAAGACCAACAAACCTCAAGAGAAAGAACCATTTGCACTACCTCGGAGTTGGGATTATCTTGGTATTGTTATTGTTGTTTTTGTTTCATAATGTAAATTATATTAACTAAAGCATTCAATATCTTCTAAAAAATTGGCTAATGCTACCCTATCACACTATCTCACTTGCATTATTTTTTATGCACCAAGAGTGCAAAGAAATGGCGATTAGTTACATGAGATCGCTCAAAAGTGTCACCTTCCCCAAAGAGATAGCCAGAGTGATTGGCTGCAGAACATTTGCCGCTGGAGGAGGCAAAGCAAAGAAGGGATCAAAAGGAGGCGGCGCGACAGATGGCCCAAGAGTGTCTTCTCTCAGCAAGGAAGTGAAATCAACAACAGTCGTTGGTGCGAATATTCTCAAGGATGGAACAGACCCCAAGGTGTTGCCGGATAGCGAGTACCCTGAGTGGCTATGGCACTTGCTGGATAAGAAACCAGCACTCAGTGAGCTAAGAAGGAAAGACTTGGAGTCGCTTCCGTACGAGGAACTCAAACGGTTTGTCAAGTTGGATAACCGAGCAAGGATCAAGGAGAACAATTCTCTCAAGGCCAAGAACTGAGTGTTGTCGAAAAACCAGTCCTTGTAGAAGAAGAACAGCTTGGCTTTGAAAGACTTTGCTTCAGCAACCACCTGGTATGACTATCATCAACTGGAAAATGTCTCTCATCTTATTTAAAGCAAAATTTATTTTGCATGTGGATGGTCTTACATCTATCTTGAGCTTTCTTAAAGGTGATACATATTGAACTAGTTCCAACATAATCTTGTTTATTTATTACTAATAAGCTCCTCTTGGTCTGTCACATACTCCTTATATTTCTTCCTCTTTCCTTATTCTTTCATCTTTTTTTTTGAAAAGGACTTCATGCATTATTTCATAGCTTCAGCATATAGTGCATCCCAATACAAACTGGGGGAACAACCATCCACTCTAGTAAGCAAATGAGCAAAAAAAAATTGACTATTTTACCCACAATCCATTACTACCTCATTTAATATCACTATTCACATTTTTTTACTTCTTTAAAAATTAACTACTCTAACAAGTGTAAAATAAGAAAGTCATTTTTTTTGTTTGTTCGAACATTCAATCTGATACTAGTACTTTGTCTAAGTTTGAACCGCTTATTTCCCACGTAATAGTCATTCATCATTAATTTTGGTTGTTCGTTTGTTCGACTATTCATCTTCGTCCTTTGTTCCCACCCAAACTACACAAACCTTTTTATTTTTTGCATTTAACAAGAAACTTCCCGTTCAAACTACTCCTTCGGTCCAATAATAATGTTCTCGCTAGCTGCGCGCTACGATGTTTGACTGAAATTATTTTTGATGAAAAAACATATCGAATTAAAAATAAAAGTTATATATTTAAAAACTACATGAAAAGACCTATAGAACTAGAGGTGACATGACTATATTATTTTATTTAATGAACAACGAAAAATACGCCAACAAAGTAAATAAAATTTGACCATGTGAATAGTGAACGAGAACATTATTCTTGGACGGAAGAAATATACAAGAATGATCTACCAAATTTAACACTTAAACTTGGAACCATAATTTTAAAAATTGGACCAGCCACCGAACCAGTCAAGGCTCTAGTTCATTGGTTGAACTAGTGATTTGAATGGTTGAACCAGTGATTCAAACATACACACACATGCACACACATTATATATTTTATTATCACATATTTTACTTATATACGTATCTATATATATTATTGTTACAAATATGTCACGAATACATGTGCTTATATATTACGTATTTGTATGTTACATACGGAGTATATTTTAATATATGTACATCTGCATATATGCAATAAAATATCTATATAGTTAATTCAACCTGTTGGTCATGGAAAAAAAGCTCGAGTGTTCTCCCTCGAGAACCGAATGGCGGATTCTGGTATGCTCGAACCACGCAGACTTTAATGAGAAATATAAATATTGAAATGGTGAATGAGAAATATGAGAAGGGAAAGCTTGAAATTAAAAGACATCACCATAAAATGGAGTAAAAATAGAAAAAAATACTAAACTAAAAGTTCATGTTTTTATCATCAAAACATGAGTTTGCACCGTGGTAACATGACACTGTATATGAACATTTCACGGTGCTTTTTGGTAATGTATATGGTAATGGTTGGAATAAATGAATTTTAACTCGTATTTCACGAACAGAAACTTAGAATTCTTGTTTTAGTATATTTTCAATATTTTATTCTTACTTTAGTCTTTTTTCTAATTAAGGTTGTTTGGAAGATATCTTGGATTGAGTGGTAATTTTCTCGCATTTTACCTTGTACTCCCTCCGTCCCAATTTAAATTGTCTGTTTCGATTTACGATGTTTGATTAAGTTTATTTTCAAACATTTAAATAAAAAATGATGTAGAATTTAAAAATAAAAGTTAGTACATATTTAAACATTACATCAAAAGATCTACAGAACTAGTGATGACAAGATTATATTATTTTATCAAATTCTTAATGAAAATAGGAAAATAAAGTGAATAAAATCTGACCTTGTGAATAGTTAACATGCAATTTAAATTGGGACCGATGGAGTATTTTTTACTTGCTATATCTTTCCTCATTACTGTAGTTGTCTTAAGACTATGATTATAGTAGAAATCGACTGAAAATCACAAACGAAGCGTCAAAAGCGGCCTCTGGAATTGTGTTTGACAATAATGATTTATGATTATTATAAGATTACACTTTTAACCCTCAAATTTTATAGAAATTAAAAAAAATTATTTGTAGAAACCTCAGATTATAAAATATTGAATGTTTTATCCACATTCCAATAAGGATAATGCTACATGTACCCCACATTGTACCCCATTTTGTACCCCAATGCTTTGCCCTAACATTAAATGTAGGTGCAAATCTGGTAATATGTCACTGTTGCACCTACATTAAATGTCAAAGTTAAAGCTTTGGGGTACAAATTAGGTCCCTTCCAATAATTCCATAGAGGCACTGTCTGGCAAGTCTCAATTCGTCTTCACAGTCCGCCAACCTCATATCCATCTAAACACTACGGCGGCCGTTCACTGCTTGGCTGATAACAATGGAGGCTCTTTCTTTATGCTTCTCTATTCCCCGCCTTCCCCACACCACTGCAAAACCCTAATCTCCAAGCTCTACTTCACCCTGCTTCGATCATCTCACCCGACCTGGAATCTCACTGCTCATTGCTCCAAAATTCGCCCCAAACCCACGACTGCAAAAACCCTCACTTGCGATCGCCGGCGCTAATCTCTCATCCTTCAGTCTCTTAGATATCCATCCGAACCGCCATTTCCTCTCTCTTTTGATGGGGTTATCTTTCCCCCTTTCGTGTCTTGCTTCTGAATCCGATGTGCCCACTGAAGGGATTTCCAGTAAGATCGACTTGGAGGCAATTTTGGTCTCCATTGACAATTTCTTGAATAGATACCCCTTTTTCCTTTTCGGGGTTGGGTTCATTTGGCTTGTGGTGATCCCGCTCACTGAGGAGTACTTGCAGAAGTACAAGTTCATATCTGCCATTAACGTATTCAAGAAGCTCCGGAATGACCCAAATTGTCAGATGTTGGATATTAGGGACAAGAGAGCTTTGGCATATTTGGATTCGTCCAATTTGAAAATCTTGAATAAGAAGGTGTTGCAGGTTCATTTCGTTGAAGGAAAAGAAGATATTTTTGTCAAGGAAGTTTTGGAGAACTTTCGGGAGCCAGAAAGCACCACAGTTTGCATTATAGATCAGTGAGTTTTGCAAAGCCTTATGATATGCATAAATGTATCTATTTTTTCCTGTATACTTGTTGAAAATACATTATTTTCAGTTGCTATGAAGTTATGTGTCTTGTAGTGCATTATAATTAATGGTGTTCGTAGGGTTTTCCTGCCAATGGAGCTTTATAAAATGGAACATTAAAATTTCGTTTCTTCCGAGACCCTACTCTTGTGGGATCAAACTGGATTGTTATTGTGTTGTTGTGAACTTTTGTTTTTTCTTACTTTCTGTGAAGTTTTGGACATTAAATGAAGCAACGCATCTAGGGTTTAATGGAAGCAGCCTCCCTATTTTTTTAGGGGTATGACTGCATACATCTAGACCCTAAGGGAATTGGGATTATACTATGTTGTTGTTGGTATTTGAGGGTTTTGACAAATAATGTTTTGACTCCTGTGTGGAAGGTAGTTTCGATGGTAACTCACTCAATGTGGCTGAATTGTAGGTGAAAAATGGTTTCAAAGAAGCCTATGCAATCCGTGGTGGGCTGAGAGGCAACAAAGGGTGGCAGGTTATTTATCTATTTGTCCTAAAGTAAATATACAGAGTATTTATGTTAGGAAAAAATTTATACATTCAAAATAGCTGCATTGAATATTTACACTAAAATATGCTTACCAAAATATGAAAGTCATACCGAAAGTGGGAAACAAACTAATAGTCGTGGACTCGTGGGACCAAAAGTGTAAAATTGTGAAGGTTATTACTCCATCTGCCCCAAAAAATATTATATAATTTGACTTTCGCATTGTTTAAAAAAAGCAATGAAACCGAAAAGTGGGGAGTGTGAGCCACATGTTTATTATGGAGTACTTCAAAAGAAAAGAAAGCAAGTAGGGAGTGTTCTTTGTGACTTCCAAAAAGGGGAAGTGCAAAGTGTTTTTTTTGGGACGGGGGGAGTATATACCTCTGCTATTTTTGGTGTAGATTACTATGAATCTTAAGATTTTGATCATCATGTTCTAGTCCTGACTTGACATTTAATTGAATGAAACACAATTAACCATCTATTTACATTTCATGTTGATTTGTTGCAGGAGATACAAGAATCACTTCTCCCTTTATCTGTTCGTGTCTATCCCAACAAGAAAAACAAAGAACAGAGTGAGAGTGGTATAGATGCAAACCAGCCAGAGGAAGATGACATGGATTCTGGCATAAAAAGAAGTGAACAGATTGGCAATGGATCTGCTACGAAACCCAGCCAACTCATCCCACAAACACAAAGTGGCGTGTCTCCATATTCAAATGTATGAACTCTCTTCATGTCTCGATAAACAAAAAGGAAGGGAAAATAACATTTTACTCCTTCCCATTTTTCCTTTTGTCGGGCATCCCAAAACAATCTTCTCATTCCATTTAAAGAGACATGTGGTTCATATTCTTTCTCTCATGTGCACAAACATTGAACACACAATTTCACCTCTCCATATCCAAATGCATGAACTCTCTCTTCTCTCAATACACAAAAAGAATAAAACCCCATTATTTGCACACACACGCACACCATAAAATATGAAAACCGGACGGTAATTTTTTATTAAACCGTCAACCATATCTTGGATATATGGAAAAAATATACTGGAGTTTATGCTAGTAAACCAGATAAAGTGCCATCTAGAAGTGAAAGGCCAGTTATTTTATCTTTTGGAAACAGCTTCTCCATTGCCGAGTAGGGCCGTAGGGGTAAGGTTTGATTACACATCCCTCCCAAGATCATACTTTTTGTGGGTATCATGATTTGGCTATGTTATTGTGAATTTCAGGACCCAGCTTTGAAGCCACCATCCCTTTGAATCCATCAAAGTGTTCAAGTCGATGAATGAACATGGATGGTGTGATGGGCTATGACCAAAAGTGTTAATTTTTTTCTATCAGGGTGGGAATTCAGAGATAGAAAGCTGGTGGGTCTGTTCTTGTGAATGTTGCAGACTAAATTTATGCTCTGTGTTTTTGGTACATTGTAAATTCTAGTGGAGTATATGACAAGGGAATTTGTATTTGTAATGATGATGAAGAAAAAAAAATCTCTTGAGCAATGGCAGCAAGCAAATTTCTATCTTTTACAATGCAGCAATTCATTTAGTTTGCAGCTGAAACAACTTACAGAGCATCTCTGTTTTAGATATGTATACATTTTGCCCTCGTAAACATGCATACACCAAAATTAGTTGATGGATTAACTTGTCTGTTTTACGGTTTTACCATTCGCATGATTGAATTTTATTCACTTTGTTTTTCTATTTTGTTACGGAGTACTAATTTGGATAACATAATATACTCATATCATTCCTCATTTCACAGATCTTTTGATACGGAGTATAATTTTTTAATATGCAAATTTATTTTTTAATTTTCTCAAAATTTCAAATAAATTGTATTGAGAATGACTTCAGTCATACATAAATTGAAACGGACTATTTAAATATTAGTGGCCACGGAAGCCACTGCTTTCCTACGGTGCTCCGTTTATAAAATTGATGAATCTTACCTCTCCTAACCTCTTGATAAACCCCTGCCTAGTTCCAACCCCAACTCATCTCACCACCAACGTTAATTGCACCCCATAAGTATAATTGACTTTAAAGTCTAAACTTTTAACTTCAAAATCAGCTAAAATTGCAAGATAATATTGACGTGTGTGGGAGGATGAGTTAGGGTCAAGACTGGATGAGAGAATCATCAATTTTACGAACAAAGTATCTTAGTTTCGTCAATCTTCACGCTCATTAAAGTCAAATGGAGAATTTATTTTGGCCAAATGGGTGAGTATTTGAATGAACGAATCTCAAATTCTCAATGGGGCGGATGCTTCGTCCCCTCAGCATCAATCTATTAAGCTGCCGCCAGGGGTGGAGGAGAGGGGGTGGGCAAGTGCCCCCGGCGGAATTCCGGCGAAATAGCATTAGGTGCCCAAATCGGTGATGGGAGGCCGGATTTGCCCCCCAGATCCGTCGCAGCTGTCGATGGAACTCCAGCCGATCGAAGAAGAGGATAGGAAGAGGCAATTGGAAAACGACGTCGTTTTGTTAAATTAAAATGGGTTTAAAAATTTCCTGTGACCAAGCCCAACAGTCCAAGGCCCAATAGCCCAATTGCCCAAAACACTAAAAAAAATGAAGGATGGAAGTATACGAACTAAAAAAATAGGGAGGCGTATTCGTAGAAGGCGTCAGGCTCCCATCTCCAGAGATTGACGAACAGTCGCAGTCGGCAGAACTCGAGAAGGCAGAAGGGCAATCGGCAGAAGGCTGAAGGCAGACGAATCCATTCTTTTTCCGTGCTTCTTCATATCCTTACATCTTCTCTCATTATCAAGGTATTATATGTAAATTTTAATTATTCTATTTCGAGATTTATTTCTTAATATTTGAAAGTTTTGAATATTGCTAAAATATGTTTTGAATTTTAAATATTTATTTTGTTCCGCGATTCCAGTGTGTTTTTTGATATTTAAATATTTGATAAATGTTAATGTAATTTCAAATTCTAGAGATTAAGATATATGAAATTGTTGTTTAAGGATTATTGATATTTTATTTTGTTACTTTATTATTGAATCAGAAAATTTTGAGATGTGAGATGGATAAATTTGTTATTAGACAAAAGAAGAATTTAGAATTTGTAAGTCATAGAGGCAATGAAACAGAAGCTTCTTCTTCTATAAAGAAAGAAAATGTGGTTTCAAATGATGATATTATTGCTGATCTGGGACTACGAAAGCCAATTAATAATTATCCATTGGAAATTAGAGATGTAATAAGGAGAAGATACTTAGCAAAAAGTCCTTGTAAGCCATCGATGGATAAATTTCCACAAAGTATGACAGGCAAGAACAAAAGACGATTTCAAAGTTATTGGTTTGATAAGTTTAAGTGGTTGGAATATAGTGTCGCCAATGATAGAGTATTTTGTTTGCATTGTTATTTGTTTGCGAATACAAACAAAAATGGATCAAACAACTCTTACTCCTTTACACAAATAGAAGGTATGTTTAGTTGTACATTGCCAATTAAAGTAGTTACTATTCTGAATTTTGTTTATTTATTAAATGAATTTTTGCCCCCCCATGAAGTCTTCCCTGGCTCCGCCACTGGCTACCGCGCGTTACCACCCCACACTCTTGCTTTTTCCCCACCGCCGAAGAGAATCACCGCCGCATTTAGACTTTCCGATCGAACGATGTGCAGCCACACTTCGGCTTGCGCGCCTACTCCGCCGGCCGCGAAGAAGGTGAGGCGCGAGATGGAGCTTTTTGGCGACGTGAGGGTCGACAATTACTACTGGCTCCGCGACGACAGCCGCTCGGACCCCGAGGTTCTCTCTTATCTCCGGGAGGAAAATGAATACACCGACCGCATCATGTCTGGTTCGTGCTTTATTCATCTCAATATAGAAAAAAAAGAACAAATCTTTCATATTCATCATTGGAACAAATGCATCTCGTACAATGATTCTGTACATGTTTGATGTTTCATCCTGGAAGATGAATTAATGATGATTAAATGACATCCCAGGCACAAAAAAGTTGGAAGATGATATATATACTGAGATAAGAGCAAGAATCAAGGAAGATGACATATCTGCACCTAAACGGATTGGCCCTTATTACTACTACGAACGGACACTGCAAGGGAAGGAATACACTCAACACTGTAGACGCCTTGCCCCGAATCACGAAGCACCATTATCTGTTTATGATATCATGCCAACGGGACTGGATGCCCCGCCAGAGCATGTAATCCTTGATGAAAATGTCAAAGCCCAAGACCATGAATTTTACCGTATTGGTGCCTTTAAGGCATGGAATTCTTGCTTTTATCGTTTACTCTTGGCAATTCTGCTCTATTATAGAGGTTGTGAACTTTTTTTTGTAGTATATTTTTTTATTACCATTGCTTCTTCCAGGTAAGTCCTAACAATAAGTTAGTGGCATATGCTGAAGACACCAAAGGAGATGAGATATATACTGTTCACATTATTGACATTGAATCTCAAGCACCTGTTGGGGAGCCTCTCGTTGGGTTGACATCAGAACTTGAATGGGCAGGTGATGAGGCCATAGTTTATGTCACAATGGATGAAATCCTTCGTCCTTACAAGGTAAGGAATTTGGTTAGACCATCAGTCATTAAGTGACTTCCCAAAAAAATCCTAATACATTTATGAACAGTTTGCATATTTTGTTTTCATTTATATGATGTATTCATTAGTTGTCCAACATGTGTGTTTGGTAAAAAATACCATTCAAGTGTCCTTGAGTTTAACCACTAATACTTCTCATTAATGAGTTTTTAGGCTCACATTTTGACAATGTTATGTATTGTAATCCAAACTTGCTGTATAAAGAAAGTTCTAGTAACTTTCTCGTTAGACATCAAATATGTACCTAAAGAGACCAATTTGACCATGGGGTGCTCATAGGTTATGTTAGAACTTAGAACTGTGCTACAAAAGGTACTATTCACCTCATAAAGATGGAGCCTGAGATGGCTTATGAAGGAAGATTTGGTACCATGTTGAATAAGATAATTAAATGAGAGAATGAACTGGTATTCTTTTATTTAAATTGATACTAGAGCACCTACTTATATAAACCTTAGAACTAATATACATATGGATGCGATATAATTGGTATCCCACACTAATCAACAGCACTCACGTTTCATGTCTGATGTTTCTCAATCTCTATATGCACGTTTTGTTAAAAAATCTATATCTTTTTTTCTGACTTTTTTTATTACTTAAGGTTGCATACTTATCAGGTAACATCAGCACCATTTGACCCCTGTGCCTATCAATGAAAGTTTGTCATTTTTATTGTGTTTTGTAGGCATGGTTGCACATGTCGGGAACAAGCCAAGCTCATGACACCTGCCTTTTTCATGAAAAGGATGAAAGATTTTCATTGGATCTTCAGGAATCTGAGAGCAAGAAATTTTTGTTTTTAGCATCGGAGAGTAAAACTACAAGATTTGTTTTATATCTAGACATTTCAAAACGTGAAAAAGAGTTAGTGTTTTTGACCCAGCGAGTTAGTGGGATTGAAACATATGTTAGTCATCGGGGAAATCACTTTTTTATTCAGAGGAGGAGTGATGAATGTTTTAACTCAGAGTTGCTTGCATGCCCCATGGAAGATGTATCACACACAACTGCTCTTCTTCCTCACCGGCCAAGGTTATACTTTTCTAATCCAACATTTATGTTATTACTTATTAGCTATATATAGGTAGCAACTTTGTTGTTATCTTTGATGGTGCTTGAAGTGTTTATAGTAGTGCTTAAAACATTAGTAAGTAATAAATTTATGACAAAATGATTGTAGGTTTGTGTTGTTATCCATTATAATAATGTTGGTCTTTTCTTTTGTTTCCTTTTATGCATTTTTTCACGAAGACTTGTTTCTATACTCTGTAATTTTTTTGGGTCTAAAAATTCTGCTCTCATTGGTAAACCACTTCATTAATTTTCTGCTATATGAATAATATTGTTCTTGGTTTTCCATTATGCCCATCTTTTTCACTTTTTAAGCAAGTTGGTGAATGGTGATTATAATGTGCTCTTCTGCAGCATAAAGATCCAATACATACAACTTTTTTACAACTATCTTGCTGTTTATGAGCGTGAACAAGGTTTGCCTAAAATAACCGTTTATAACCTTCCTGCTGTTGGAGAGCCATTGAGAAAGCTTCAAGGTGGCAGGGCTATTGATTTCATTGATCCAATATACTCTGTGGATCCATCAGAATCACAATTTGCATCAAGCATCTTGAGGTTTTACTATAGCTCCCTTAAAACTCCTCCTTCTGTATATGACTATGATATGGACACCGGAGTTTCCGTTTTGAAGAAGATTGACACGGTGAGTTTTAAGTGAATTCATGAACAATTGAACATATGGCCATAAATTAAAATGATGGTTGCATCCGGGGCTCTAATCTGCATTTTGCTTCTGGTATTTTAGTCTCCCTCTCCGGCACTTGAGCAAGATTAATTCAAGCACATTGAGTTGGAGATTTTTTTCCTTCTAGTACTCTACATTTTATAGGTTAAGTGTTTAAAATTACGTAGTAGTTTGTAACTTGCGGATGCATTAGTTGGGGATTCTCTCTCTCGAGAACTCTTGTCAGTATCAATCCAGGAGACTTGTTTTGCAAAGATTGCTAAGCTTTCATGTTTTGATGACATTGATTGTGATTCTGATAGCTTTCATATCCCTATGCAGCATTTGGCCATTTTCTAGAAACTTCTAGTATCAGGCTAATGCCTATAGTTCTATAAACTATCATTTCTTGATGTGCATTTCTAAAAAAGAATCTTGGTGACAATTGTTTGATCCCCTCCCCTAACCCAACCAAAGAGAAAGAAGGAAAGTGGACCACTTCTTTTTTTTATTATTCATGTTCATCATAGTAATTTACTTTGTCATCTGATTCAGGTGTTGGGAGGCTTTGATTCATCAAATTATGTTACTGAAAGGAAATGGGCTACTGCTTCAGATGGGACTCAAATACCCATATCAATGGTTTATAATAAGAATCTTGTGAAGCTTGATGGTTCCGATCCACTTCTTCTTTATGGTTATGGTTCGTATGAGGTATCACACTCTTAACATGGAAGAACTCACTGCTTACAACATTAACAACCCAGGGAGATTCCATAAGTGGGGTATGGGGGTGGATGTGCATAGACCTTATCCCTACCAAAGTTGAGATGATTTTTCTAAATGACCCCGAGGTCAACGACCCACGAAAACAAATGATAACATGTTACAACAATCAGAGATTTAGGACAACCAAATATTAAGAGATGAAAGTAAGGGAGAAGCATATTATAAGAGAAGCAAAAATAGAGTAAAGGACATATCTAAGATCATATCTTGTCCAAATATCTCACTTCAACTCTTCTTTAATTAGCCTACCTCTATCTCTCCTAGAACTCTGTTAACCTCTTGCACCTCCCCACATGAGCATCACTAAGTGCAATTCAAGTATAACTGATTAGTGATTACTATATTTTGATGGTTGGATTTATGTATCCAGGAAATTTTTTCTTATATTTATGGTGGATTTTATTCATCAACTGTACAAAGACAATTATTTTAATTTTTTTGAACCCTTCAGGACTTAGATTGTTATTTATTAGAATTTTACCATACCACTCATCTGCTTTATCCAAATATAAATTGCAAAATGTTGCATCCCCTACAGGTTTGCATCGACCCATATTTCAAAGCAGAACGCTTTTCCTTGTTGGACCGAGGGTTCATTTATACAATTGCCCACATTCGTGGGGGTGGTGAAATGGGGAGACCATGGTATGAAAATGGGAAATTGCTGAAGAAGAAAAATACTTTCACAGACTTCATTGCCTGTGCGGAGTATTTGATTGAAAAGGGGTATTGTACCAAAGAAAAGCTTTGCATTAATGGTAGAAGTGCAGGGGGGTTGCTTATTGGTGTTGTACTGAATATGCGCCCTGATTTATTTAAGGCAGCTGTAACAGGAGTACCTTTTGTGGATGTTCTGACCACAATGCTTGACCCTACTATTCCTCTAACAACTTCTGAGTGGGAGGTTTGCTTTAATTTTCTTTTTCCTTTTATCATCAATGGAACTGTAGATACAGAAGGAACCTTCTTTATGTTTGGACTAGGCTGGGGATTATAATCTTTGCTACTTTTTTCTTTGTGTTTCTGCAGGAATGGGGTGATCCTCGTAAAGAAGAATACTATTTCTACCTTAAGTCCTATTCTCCAGTTGATAATGTAACAGTTGTTTCTGACAAGATCCTCATCTTCTAAAATTTATAATAATAATAATTGCTTCCTGCAAATTTAACCACAAGAGGAAAAAATGTATTATGTGATTAAAATACGCTTTGGTTATCCTTCATGTCATGTTTTTTCTCTCTTAAATTTCTCAGGTCAAGGCACAAAATTATCCAGCAGTTCTTGTCACAACTGGTTTAAATGGTAAGTGAATGTGTCTTGAACTTTGGAGTTCAAAAGAAGAATTTGAGATGACTAGCATTTACTGACTTTGTTTTTTCATGATTTAATGCTAAACTTTACTTAGTAAATAAAAAAGTGTGCATGGGGGAAGCTTAATTGTCTATCTGACATTTTTCTGTTTGCTAATGTTTCGAACTTTCCATATATTTTATTATCATTCTGAGAGTAGTATCAACTCTTCAGCTTGTGATACCATTGATATTCAGTAATCCAATATTAGATCAAATTTAGGTGCTTACATTTTGTCATTAACAAGCCAAGACTCATCAAAGTCTCTTTAGGGAGTACTACACTAGTGTGGTAGTATTAGAATTGGCTAAGTAGAGCAATTGTTGTAAACATTTACTCCCTCTGCCCTGCAAAAAACTTCACTCGTTCCATTTTTATCCGTCCCAAATAAAACTTCACACTTTCTTCTTTCTTGGAAATTGGAATGAGTGGCTCACAACCCTTCTCTCTTCTGAACAAATTTTGTTAAGTTTTCAACACTTTTATTACACACAAAGTCAAGCAAGGGAGTTTTTGCTAGGCGGAGGGAGCATAATTTATTAACCATCTAGAATGAAAGTTATAATGTGCTTTCTCTTACATTGCAATAGATACACGCGTTCTATATTCGGAACCAGCAAAGTATGTAGCCAAGTTGAGGGATATGAAGACTGATGACAATATACTACTATTCAGATGTGAATTCAGCGCCGGGCACTCCTCAAAATCAGGAAGGTATGATCTTTTGAAAAGGTTATTTGCACCGCAACCTTATCCCTAAGTCTCTAACCTTTCCCCCAATCCCATTTTATGTGAATCTGTTGGTTTTATGTAAAGGAAAAGTTTTCTTTGAAATTGATTTCAGTCACATTTGTCAGATGCTTATTATTCTGTTAATGATAAAAATAACTAGAACATTTTCAATTTTTTGATATTTGAGGCATCACATGCCTACGCTAGGCGTTTGTCCAAATCTCACAAAAAGGGCGAATTCTTGTTTCATTCAAAATGTGTTTTTATCGAATCCCGACCTTCAAATTAGCCCTAACTAGGCCTACGAGTGCCGTGGGAGAGGGTTCTCTTACTCATCATGGGAAGATCTGATTTGTAAGTGAGTAGTAATTTTCTTTGTTGTGTGCAGGTTTGAAAAGCTAAAGGAAGTTGCTTTCACATATGCCTTCATATTGAAGGCCTCAAACTTGATCCCTTCACCAAGCTCCCACCCCAACTTATAAAGTGGTTCTGTATTTTTCTAGTTTGATTTGTTTCCTATAATGGTTGATGTTATTTGGCACCCATATTATTATTTCTTCATTTTTTAAAAAATTAGTACTCAATAAGTAAATATAATTTTACTAGGGGCATTGACCCTATAGTCAAGCTTTACATCCTCCCTTGTAAGCGGTGAGATTTTGAATTTTTGTTTGTAATTCTAGCATTATTGAAATATTAAACAAAAAAAATTACAATTAAGCATTTAAGCCTATCATGACTAATGTAATTGGGAATTACTCCTTATACATAAGACAATTACTTTACACGACTATCTCATTTAATAATTGGTCGAACTCATTTTCACTTCATTTGAACTTTTTTTCTATTTGTATGGAATCATGCAAGGGGCCAAAAAAATTCCCCATTACTCGAGTGGTAAAAATTATTGGCAAATAAATCTAGTAAGAAGAGAAATTTTTTGTATCTCTTGTGACGAATGAATACTCCATCCATCCATCCATAAATTAATTTATTACTTTGAACACGGTATGATATCTTATTTCTTTTAAAATTATTTATTTACAAAATGGTAAATAAATGAAAAAAAATATGAATTATTCCCTCTGTTTCATTTTAAATTGCATGTTTGCCTTTTTTCCGTCCCAAAATAAGTTGCTTGTTACTTGTTGTCGTAAACTTTTAATAGTAAAATACCTAAACTATTCCTAAAATAAGTTACTCTTCTCCACCTTATCTTCTCATTCATCGTCACCCCTCCTAAAAGTAATGACAATTTCGAAAAATTAACTCTATTTTTTTCCTTAAATATGCTCAAAAGTCAAAACAGCGATTTAAAACGGGACGGAGGGAGTACATATTTTAAAAAGACATTAAAAGTTTTATAAAACAAAGCATGATAATAATATTTTATTTTATTAAATTAACAATAAAAGAATATGTATAAGTCAATAAAAATTATTGAGAAGTTAGAATAGTCATAGAAAAGTTAATTTCTAGACAGAGAATGTAGTAATTAATGACGAATTTTTAATACTTGTAGTCTAAGAGGGGGCATTTTTTTTTTTGCAATATTTATAGTCATGCTCATTTTATAGATTTTAATATATAAAATGATTATGTGTTTTGGATCTTGTCAAAAAGAAAAAGATTCAATTATGAGTATATCTCTTACTTTGAAAAATATTTGATATATCTTTTAAATATATACTCCCTCCGTCCTAAAATTAATTTTTCATTTTGACTTTTGCAGTCAAAGTTTTTAAACTTTGACTGCATATTACGGAAAAAAAATATTGAATTTTCATATAAATTTAGTATCAATAGATTCATTTTGAAACATAGTTTTGAAATATATTATTTTGAAAATATATTTTAATATAAAAATGGAGATATTAATGGTCAAAATGCCGCATTGGAGACCGTGAAAAGTCAAATGAGAAGTTAATTTTAGGACGGAGGGAGTAATTTTTATTTTTATTTCTATACAAATCTATAAATGAAATGGATTGAAAAAATTGTTACTCTCTCCGTTCTGTTTTAAATTGCCCGTTTTGACTTTGAGACATATTTAAAGAAAAGAAAAATTAGAGTTTACTTTTCGAAATTGTGATTACTTTTTAGGAGGGATGATGATGAATGAGAAAATAAGGTGGAGAAGAGTGACTTATTTTAGGAGTAATTTAGATATTTTACTCTTAAAAGTTTACGATAACAAGAAACATGCAACTTATTTTGGGACGGAGAAAAAAGGAAAACATGAAATTTAAAATGGGACATAGGGAGTATTTTATTTCATTTTACTTAAAGTATAATTCATTCAGAGACAAATGAATATTTTAGAATTGAAAATTAAATATAAAAGATAATCTGTAAGTATAGGACTTGTTCGTTAGAAAAAATACTCCCTAACTTAAAAATAAGAAAAATGTTAGGGGTACACCTTGGTGTACCCCATTTATCCACATCCCCTCCATTACCACAAAAATGGGCAAGAAACTTGATGGTGTAAATTATCGACCGGTATATCGTTTTAGCCCGGCAAAAACGATAAACTAGTCTAAAAAATACACCAAACTATAAACACGAGGATTTTTACGTGGAAACCCAAATCGGGAGAAAACCACGGGCCTTTTTTGGCGGTACCTTGCCAACAGGGGATTTTTATTGATATCGGGGGTGTGTACACGGTACAAGAATCGGGCTCGGAAGCCATTAATGGAAGCTTAAAAGCTTATTGAAGAACAAAAACTATAAAATGCTAGAGAGAGAAAGTATAGTGGGCAGGGGAGAAAGTGATTTGGCCTCCCCTTCACATTGGGGGCACCCCTCCTTTTATAGGAGGGGGGAGCATATTCGGAGGAATATTCTCTTATTCCTCTATTTTATTAAACAGCCCCGGTTTGACTGTTCTTCGTAAAATAATTGGGAAATGTGGGCCGTGCCACGTATTATTTCCCATCAATAAGTCCTCCACTTTTTTAAGTTGTGAGAATCATCAACTTGAAAAAGTAAACAAGTCCTCCGAGTGCTATCTTCAATCTTCGTACTTTGGATTCTTGACCGGTTGATATTGTTGCTAGTCCTCCGAGTCTTCATTAGTTCTCCAATTTCTTGAATCAGAAGGTTTTCCTGTAAAAATAAAATGTACAACATTTTTTTTTGACCGGCCTATGCCGTGCTCAAATAATTATTATCTTTACCGAAGAGCTCGGTGTTAGAGTGATTAAACTTCGCGCGAATAATTATTGTAACAAGAGCGATGTCAGTTCGATAAAGCAGCGATGCTTCGAGTAGTTATACGACACCGGAGTTAGTACGATGAAGCGGCGGTGCTTCAAGTAGTTATTTCGTTGAGACCGATGTTAGTACGAACTAAGTATACGATGCATGACGAAATTAGTATACAGACGATGCATGATGAATCCGATGCAGTAGCTTTGTTGAAGATCAGCGTTAGCCCGGCTGACTGATGTAAATATCTTCATGTCTCGCGGAGACCATCTTCGATCAAAGTGCCTCGAATAGAGGGCTTAAATGAATCGGGCGTCCCCGATATGAGCTTTGCTCACTTTTTTGCTGAAACCGATGTGCAATCGGTGTACCCAATTCGATTGGGCTCAGGCTTATTGGAAAATATGTGTAAGACTGGTGTGAGACCAGTGTACCAGTTCGACTGGGTCACATATTTTCTTTATTATACTGAGCAAGACCGGTGTAGTAACCAGCGTGCCAGGCCAGGCCTGTGTCTCAGTCTTCCAATAAGATAATGCTGCTGGCCGGGCCAGATCAACATTGGAGAATTAACCATGTCGGATGGTTTCGAGCCCTCTCCAAGGCCCAAAATGCACCCTTCTTCCAGGGCCCCCTCTTCCGGGTGATTAAGTCTTTTAATGGCCCTTTGATATTTACTATCCCGGGAAGGCCTTAGCTCACCCCCCNTTTTTTGCTGAAACCGATGTGCAATCGGTGTACCCAATTCGATTGGGCTCAGGCTTATTGGAAAATATGTGTAAGACTGGTGTGAGACCAGTGTACCAGTTCGACTGGGTCACATATTTTCTTTATTATACTGAGCAAGACCGGTGTAGTAACCAGCGTGCCAGGCCAGGCCTGTGTCTCAGTCTTCCAATAAGATAATGCTGCTGGCCGGGCCAGATCAACATTGGAGAATTAACCATGTCGGATGGTTTCGAGCCCTCTCCAAGGCCCAAAATGCACCCTTCTTCCAGGGCCCCCTCTTCCGGGTGATTAAGATCTTTTATTGGCCCTTTGATATTTACTATCCCGAGAAGGCCTTAGCTAACCCCCGTTCAAGTCTTCCCTGAGAAGGGGGAAATAGGATGCGCCACGGTGGACGACCCCTCTTCTATTTCTTTTAATGGGCATCTTTTAGTCCCCAATCAGCTTGACGGCACCGGCTGATTCCCCGATATCGGTCAAACCTCATGGGCCCGTGTAAGTACGGTTCGAACCTTCTTCCAGGTCCAGCCCTCTCGCAGGCATACCCTCTTCCGGGCCCCTTTTCCGGGTTTATTATTTTTTTATTTTATACTGAGCAAGACTGGTGTAGTAACCAGCGTGCCAGGTCCGGGCCTGTGTCCCAGTCTTCCTTGGATCAATCTCCAACTCATTATCACCTAGGTCCGACCGGGCAACAACCATGAGTTTGAGGATCTCAATTTCCGCCTTACTAATCTTTGACTCCAGCCATAATCCCATGTGAGTGCGCATATCTTCTGTATTTGCTTGAACAATTTATCATCCTTTGCTTTTGTTAGAATAATCCAGTTGAGATGACCACTGGTAGGGCCACCTGGATTACTACGCATGGCTTTTTCTATTTGTTTGAGAACCCATCTTGATCCTCAAAATGAATTATTGAGAGTGGTGGACAGCTAGCTCCATTAATTAAGCTTCATGTTGTCCTCTTCCTCCCTTCCAAGGGAGATGCGTGGGGATATAATCAAACAAGCACGGCAGACCCGACAGCTGATCCCTGCAGGGGCGGATGGATCTTTAGAGATAGCGACAGGGACGATGAATGTAGCAATGATCTTCAAGATGTAGGCTCCAGCAGCAGAAACAGAAGTGGCTGGCTCCTGCGATGACTGCGGCTGAATTCACTGGATNTTTTTTTGTACCACTGTTACCCCTCGCCGGAATTCCGTCTATTGGATGGGGTAAGAGGGCGGTACAACTCTTTTTCTGCTCCGGCACCACCTCATCAGTGTTTAGTGTTGGTTGTGGTGGTGATTGTGGATGTGAGCTCCGACGGTGAGTACCCCTGATGGTGCCATGGAGATGGTGACGGGAGGAGGCTATGACTTCCATTAATTCTGGTATTTGTGTCGGACCACCAAATCCAGCGACTGTGATAAACATATCCTTCTCCAAGCTTTGTCAGCTTCCAGTGATGGCTTCGGGAAGGTGGGCGGCGGCATGTTTGAGCAGCAGTCCACAGATCTGTTCCCATCTCTTGCTCTAACAATGTGGCAACGGCGGTCCTCTTCCTCTTCAACATCAGTGGCTATATGCTCTCCAAAATAATGGTGGTCGATTTGAGTAGTGGTGACGACGGCGGACCTCAACGGGAGGGCGGGTGCGTGTATATTCGGCGGCTTTTGTGGCAGCAAATTCAAATGGTGACCAGCAAGTGTTCACCTTACAGTTGTGGATGCATGCAGGAATTCTTGGTGGCGAACAAAAGTTAGTTGGCGGCGGTGGTAGTTGATTTCTAGTACAACATCTAGACCCGCCCCCCTCAACGCGGTTCATAGGCGGCCGCAAGTCTCAAGACCGGCGGCGACAGGTCTAAGTAGCAGTCGGCAGATCTGAGCAGCGGCGGCAGGTCTGTGCAGCGGCGTCGGCGGGTCTAAGCATCGGCGGCGGTGGGTTTGAGCAGTGGCCGCGGCAGATTTGAGCAGCAATGGCGGAGGCGGCGGCTCTGAGCAGCGGCGGAGGCGGCGGATCAGAGCTGCGGCGGAGGCGGCGGATCAGAGCTGCGGCGGCGGCGGCAGGTTTGAGCAGCGGCGGCGGATCAGAGCAGCGGCCGCGGCAGATTTGAGCAGCGACGGCGGCTCTGAGCAGCGGTGGAGGCGGCTTCAATTTGGGGTTCTCCTTTCTTTCTCCTTTTTTGTCAAAAAAAATCAAAAACCCTCCCTTCTCTCACTCTTTTTTTTTTTTTGTGGCTGAAATTTGGGTTACTCTTCTCTCGGAGCTATCTGTCACAAAAAAAATGAACATGGCTATTTGTTCAGGTCCCACGGGTGGTACCAAAATGATGGTGTAAATTATCGACCGGTATATCGTTTTAGCCCGGCAAAAACGATAAACTAGTCTAAAAAATACACCAAACTATAAACACGAGGATTTTTACGTGGAAACCCAAATCGGGAGAAAACCACGGGCCTTTTTTGGCGGTACCTTGCAAACGGGGGATTTTTATTGATATCGGGGGTGTGTACACGGTACAAGAATCGGGCTCGGAAGCCATTAATGGAAGCTTAAAAGCTTATTGAAGAACAAAAACTATAAAATGCTAGAGAGAGAAAGTATAGTGGGCAGGGGAGAAAGTGATTTGGCCTCCCTTCACATTGGGGGCACCCCTCCTTTTATAGGAGGGGAGCATCTTCGGAGGAATATTCTCTTATTCCTCTATTTTATTAAACAAGCCCGGTTTGACTGTTTTTCGTAAAATAATTGGGAAATGTGGGCCGTGCCACGTATTATTTCTCATCAAAACTAAAACAATTTAAATAAATAAAAATGGGATAAAAATAAGTGGGGGAGAAAGAGGTTGGGATAAATGGATACACTTTGGTGTACGCATTGCTTTAAAAATAATTGCATAAAAAAATTGGATTAAGCTATGTGTACCCCAATATTTATACTAGACCTGGCAATCGGGTCAATCGGTTCGGTTCCGGTTCAGGTTTTTTCGCTTTGGGTCTCTTTCGGATATATGTTATAATCGGTTCGGGTCGGTTCGGTTCGGGTCAGTTCGGTTCCGGGTTTATTTCGGTTTGATTGGTTTTCGGTTTCGGTTCGGTTTCGGTTCGGGTTTGTATCGGTTCGGGTATGTATCGGTTCGGGTTTATATCGGTTCGGGTTTATATCGGTTCGGGTTTGTATCGGTTCGGGTTATATCAGTTCAGGTTTGTATCAATTCGGGTTGTATTGATTTGGGTTTATATATATTTGAGTTTATATCGATTTAAATTTATATTAGTTCAAGTATAATGTAAACACATACATACTAATAAATGAATAAATCACATAATAAATTTAGTTTATTTAGTTAACTATAATTTTTATATACTTTCTATAAAAATACAAAAGTATTTTAACTTAAGTTATAAAATGCAAAGTAAAAGATTTGTACATGAAAGTAGTTACATGGTTTGCACCCATAATTTAAATATATTTTTTTTAGAAACATATCAACACATGTAAAAATATATAGGTAATTCGTTTTCTCCAAATTCATTTGATAAATGAAATATTAATGAATTTGATCAATTTCGGGTCTAATCGGGTTTGGGTCTAATCGGTTCCGGGTTTAACCGGGTTCGGGTTTAATCGGTTCGGGTTTAATCGGTTCGGGTTTAATCGGATTCGGGTCTGAATCGGGTCTGAATACATTCGGTTCGGGTTCGGTTCGGTTCGGTTCGGATCATTTTGGGTGTTCGGTTCTATTTCGGTTCTTCAGTTTTCGGGTCAAATCGGGTTCGGTTCCGGGTTATTCGGTTCGGGTTATCGGGTACGGGTCAGTTTTGCCAGGTCTAATTTATACCCAATTTGCATCAACATTTTACATTTTGTGTTGATGTAAAACTAATTTTTATTAGAACCTATTAATCCCAAAACGGCGGAGAGAATTTGACGCTTATCCACTTCTCGCCGGCGGCCGGTGACCCCGCACCAGAGCGGCGTCTCCTTCCTTATCTGCCGCCACTCATCTATATATCCCTCTCTCTCTCTCTCTCTCTCTGCTCCAGTGAAAACACACGGTGAAACGTGAGTACATCATCTTATTTATTTATTTATTTAGTTTTTTAGTGGTTATAAATTTCACGCGTATTCATCTATCAGCCTACATTTTGATATTCCCTTGCGTAATTGTAATTTTTCGCATGAGAAGGGAAGAACTTTTAACCCCAAATTGGATTGCTTTTGAAGAGTTATAGACGGATTTAAGCAAATTAGAGGAATGAGAGCACAAAAATAGAGATCGGGTAATGCCATATAGATACCAAAAAGCATAAGCCATAAATTATGGTAAAGGTTTTCCAGCTCTCTGAATCTGCCATATATTCTACAATTACTTCTCTTACCGAGGTGATTATATAGCTCCGAACTGCTTTATCAAACTCTATCAGACTCTAACAATCTGAGCTGATAAAATTTCTTTTTTTTTTCTCTCTTTTTTTGCTCCTTTTCCTTTTCAAAACACAGGTAGTGTGCAACATTGGGTGTCCATTTTTGTCAAGACATTCCCTTAAAAAATCTATTTGATTTTAGACAGTAATGTCGTTAGAAAGGAGTACAATTGATATTGAGACGTGGGATGGGACCATTTCATCTGGAGAGTTCTACTTTTCCAATTGTTCATTTGCTGAGAAATGGAAGAAGTTTAACTCTGCTCTTCCTCAATGGTCATGGTGCAGATGCCCAGAGTTACTTGGGTTTCCTTCATCTCGAGTATCCAACTCATACCTTTCTTGATTCTGAGTGACAATGTCTCATTGGTTTATTGTATGCAATCAAATTTCATAATTTCTGTTTTTATAAATTTTAAATATAAAAATCAGGTAGAAGGATATCTACGTGTGGATGGCATAATTCCTCCTCGCAGGTCTACTATGGTATGTGCTTGATACTTTCACGGTTTCACCTCACCCACCTCGTAGATTGAGGACTTCGTATAGATAATATGGCCTTATCCGTCGATTAGCTGTTTGTACTAGATGTTAGCCGTTTACCTCTTTGAAGTAAGCTGTTTATATTAGCTTTTTTAAACAACTTGTTTTCACTTTAGCTTTTGATGAAGAAGAGATGGTTGGTAGCAAAAATAAGATGTTTTTTTGTATATAAAATGAAATTAGAATGTTTTTGAAAACTTGGCAACTTTTTTGTTAAAAGCTAAAAGCCCTCCAAAGTCCCTTTACCAAACAGGGAGGGGTGATATTTGTTTTATTACTCCGTAATTATTATTAAACTAAGATGGTTGGAAATGATAAGTTATATAGAAGCACATGATTTACTTAAACATTTAGTACTTATTTTCTATGTGTAAGGCTAAGAGATAGAGATAAAGTTCAAAAACGAATACCAATCATCCATTCCCTCTATAATCCCCCAGGCCTATGTGTAAGCCCATAATGTGGTTACTTTTTTCTCTATTATATTTCTCTGCAGGAGGATAACCATGAATGTGATGATGGTGGATTAAAAGAGATGGTTTGCTTGGAGGAAGAGGAGTTTATTGACAGTGCTGCATTGGTCTGTATGTTCTGTTTCTTTTGGTGTTTTAGATAAAAAATTCCTTCGAACCTTTATGTGAAATGCATGATCTTTCATATTCATTTTCTCCAAAGATGCAAATATGTCCTCATCTCACCATGAAGCTTCTCTTTTAAAGGTTCAACCTGAGAGGCATGAAAGGTGCCATTATGACTTCCATGTTGTTTACAGCTTATCCTATGGGGTCCCTGTGCTATATTTCCGAGCATACTCGAGCGGTATGTTTTAATTCAATGCATTTTATGCTCCAAACAAGTCATTCGGTTTTATGGATTATATTCAAGTATTCAACCCCTCTTACTAACCCCTTTGAGTGCTTATAATTATAAAACAACAAGAAGCCCGGCAAAATCCCACAAAAAGTAGGGTGTGGAAGCGTGTATATGTATACCTTACCCCTACTAAATAGTAGAGATTTTGTTCCTAAGAGATCCCCGGCTCAAATATAGAAGTACGGACTAAGAAACAACTGTAGCATGGGCGAAGTACGTACATAGACAAAATAAGCATCAAAACCGACTAATGTGGATGAAATTGTTGAATGAGTTGATTTGGCTATAAATACATCTTAAAAGTACTTTTTACTAAATACATTTACAACTATATATCATAGTATCGGAAAAAGAAAGTAGAACTGTAAAAGTATCATTTTATTTCGTTTCAGCTCAAAAGTCATCTAGTTTGAAAATATAGGATTTGTGGAGAGGAATAAACAAGAATCCCCCCCCCCCCCAATTTCTTTCCTACATAGACACGAGCTCATATACATGTTTTGATTGTTGTCTCGCCTCAGATGGACAACCTTTGGCATTGCACGATATAGAAACAGACATGCCTGCAATCACAAGACAAGAGCTGTCATCGTTCAAATGGACCTTTATAACTCAAGAGGTTACTGCATTGTTCAAATACTCCCTCTGTCCTACAATCAAGTTCTCCTTTGATAAATGGCACACATCTCTAGGCTAGACATTCTTTCCAACTCTGATCATACTTTATTGTTTTGTGACAATAATAAAGAAGGGGCATGGTTTTACATTCTTTTTCTTAAAGATTTGCCTTTTGTACGAATGGGAACTTTATCTTTTAGACTTTCGTAAAAAGAAAACTTGATCGTAATTACGGGATGGAGGGAGAATTTACTTCCAGTTGTATATGTATCCCTTTAATTTTACTTTTTAACCACAGGTTCACATCTTTGATACATTGTGTGAAATTCACGCAGGATCACCCTTACCTGAACCATCCATGGTTCACGCTACATCCGTGCGGGACTAGTGAGTGGATGAAGATGCTCTTTAGTAGGGACACATCTGCAATGGCACTTGGTGGAGTGGCTATTGATAGGTACATGGTGTCTTGGTTCTCAGTTGTTTCGAAAGCTTTTGGTCTCCAACTTCCCCTTGAAATGTTTGGTAGTGGTTAAGTTTTGGAAATACTTTGGTTGAGTTTTATGGCACAAATTTCTTAAAAAGAATTTTCACTTTATTTCTCTCTTTTCAAAAAGGAATCGAAATTAGTCCGTATCCGTTACCCTATTTTCAAAACACCCATAATTTAAAAAAAAAATTCCTTCCTACTTTTAAAATACCCCCCATCTCCCTCTTCTCTTCCTCCCTCCACTCTCCCCAACAAACACCACAACCCTTTATACTAATTGCTTCTCCAAATTAAAGATGTCGTCCGACAAGACGACTAGTGTGCACGTGACGGCCCTGGACGGGCTGGTGAACGTGAATTCACTGTTCACGGTGGCGGTGTTCGTGGGCCTGTCCATTGCGACTCCGGGCCAGAGGAGCCTGGAGGAGCGGACGGCCTGCGACGCGGGGATAGACAAGGTGAGGGGGCTCGTGGTGTACGAGGTTGTCTCCTTCAGCTTCTTCCTCTTCTCTTCCCTGGTGGCTCAGGGCCTGAAGCTGGCCATAAACCTGCTGACCCGAGACGACACGGACAAGGCCGTCAAGGCCCATGTCAATACAAAGGCCCTGAAGTTTGGGATGTTGGGCTGCGCCATGGGCTCGATGTTGGGCTGCTTGTTCTTGATGATGTCCATGGTGAGAGTGATAGAGATCAGGCTTGGGGTTCTTTCCTGTAGGAGCAAATTCTCTTCTTATTCTGTTGGTGCTTTGGTTTCTTTGGTCTGTTCTGGTCTCTCTCTCTATCTTTCCACTGCTGTCTATGCTTTTATCCACTACTGAGGAAAAAAACATACCCCCTCAAATAAAGGTTTTCTTGTTCATTGTTCTAGAGTCAGTTTTTTTATATTAATCTTTATTTTTCATTTGATAATATATTATAATGTTGTCGTATCTTCTTTTATAAAACACTTGATATACAAAATAGTTTTAAAATATTCTGCAAGTAATTTTTTTTTAAATTGCATGATGTAGAAAGAAATCTCTATGGGGATTGAAGTTTCTCTTTGCGACTTTATTCTGCCTTCCTCATTTTAAGCTTTTTTTTTTTGTGGGTACCAAAATCTACTGTAATTTTCAAACACTAATCTCATTTTTTCAGTGTTTCATGGTTCTTGCATTAGTTCATCGTTCTTTTTAACTTTTTCAAAAAGTTATTTAATGTTAATGTCCAGTTTTAACATTTTTAAAATTAATTTGTACCATTGAAAAATACACTAAACAATAACCCTAATTGAACATGTTTTTCCTAAATAAGGCCTTAGTTCAAGAGTAACGTTTAAAAACCGAACATGTGGATATATATCTAAAACTAGACCAAAGATCCCAAGCAACTTTTCGTGCGAACGCTTCTTTATGCGAATGTAATGTTTGTTCATGTTTTTTCGCTTCTATAAATATAGATCCGCGGGTATAGTTGAGGAACTTGAGGTATCGATTTCAAGTGTTTGTTCTTGAATTAATGTCTTATTCGATTAAAATATTTTGGTATATTTTAAAATAATTTTGATCTGAAAGCATTCTACGTGATTCGTTATAAACTATCAAGTCGTTCATGACATTTTTCATTTACCAGATTCTCTAATGCTGCTTCGTAGAGTTATTCTTTTTCCATAAAAAATTCCTACATTTAACTACTCCTTGTTTTGTAGTTTCTTCTTTGTCATATTTTCGTTCGATGCGTTTAGAAGAATACTATAATTATCCTCGATTGAAACTAGTGTTAAAGCCATAGTTTTTAGAACCGGACCGGTGACCGAACCGGTCAAGGTACTGGTTCACTGGTTTACTGGTCGAACCAGTGGTTCAACTGGTCGAACCAGTGGTTTAAACATATTTCAAAATTATATAAATATAAATAAATAAATATATATGTGTGTGTGTATGTATATTTATATGTATATATATTTACAAACACATACATACATACATATAGACACACACATTCTCATTTATAAATATCTAAAGAAAGTAATTTATAACATTTAAGTAATACTATATTAATATACTTGAGTTATTTTATAAAATTAAAAAATAAAATTTACATATTAAAAAAATATAAAAGAATTTTAAATGAAGAGTTGATTTTATTTTTTTCAAATAAGTTGTTTAATATTAAAAAAATGAAATCTTTGCATGATTTGCATTTTGTAATAGTATCAATAATATCAATGATTTTGTGTTTGACTCATAGCTATATAATATTAATAAAATTGAAAA